CTCCTGTTTTTTTATTTATAACCTTTCCACTCATATGTGTTTTAGTGACTTTTGTGTTGTTAAAGGGATAACGATGATGATGATGATGATAGTAATGATGATAATTGCATGTGCAAAAACAAAGTATACTCTGGAAGATTTATTCTGTGTGAATGAACCATGTTTACATTTAACAATAAACTGTGAATTCATTTACAAAACCTTGTTTGTTTTCCCGCCTTAAGCGCCTGTAACAGATCAAACTGCAGCAGGAAATGGACGTTAAGAGTCCTGAGGTGTTTGTCACAAATAAACATCATTTTTCTCTTACTCATTTATTTTTCTTTCAAACTGTTGCTCCTAGCTTCTTTTGGCTTTCCTGCTTTTTTTGTGGGACTCTACTCCAGTTGCTCCATTGCCGTCCCTGCGTTTTCTCCCGAGCGTCCCCTCTTCCCACCGGCTTGGTTGTTTGACGCGGGTGATTTTTAAACTTGGGGCATTGTGTCGCGAAAAATCCCTTCAACGTTGGGACTCTTGAGCTGTTTCTTCTTTGCCGGCTCCAGAAACTGCTCTGCAGTGTTCATTAGTTTTGTTTCCCGGCTCCGCTTTCTCTTAAATGACTGGGTTCCTTGTTTTTTCTGCAGTTTTTTCTTCTCCTTGTCTTTCTCTGTTCCACGTGTTCTTTTAAGGACCGCAGCAAGCGCTTCGAGAATGTTGGTCTTGGGTTTGGTCTGGTTCTCCTCGCTCGCCTGAACCTCCTGTTCGAGAGTTTTGGGTGAAGGCGGTTCTTCTAAAAGGTTTGAAAGCAGGAGGGGGGAGCAGCTGATCCCAACTTCATTCTGGGATGAATTTTGTCCGTTTCTATTGGGGCTACTTGCAAAGAGGGAGCCTGGAGCGTCCAAAGAGAGTGACTGTGAAGATACCGAAGGTGTTTCTCCGTAGAAATGATCGCTGTTTGCAGGACATGGAGGCAGCTCTTCCTGCAAGATCATCTGTAGAGCAAGAGAACAAACAAAATATCCCCTAAACATTCATTTTCAATAAATGCTTATGTTTTTGTTTTTTAATTATTGTTACTGTACTGTATCAGTATTTAAAGGATGCTACCTCTTGCTCTTCTTCAAAAAGGTCCTGGCTGGCAGAGAGGAGAGGCATGAGGGCTTCGATATTCACCGTGGACTCCACCTGGCACAAAGAGCAAAGGCAACAGTTTGAACAACAAAACATCATAAAAAGGGCTAATACTCAGGAAGTGCTGTGAGCAAAATGTGCTGCAAGTATAGTTGCAAAGCTTTTTTATGAGTGAAACATGTTTTTATTAAACATGTGAACATAATACAAAACAAACTCTTGTAGGGGATACAAAGTTAGAGAAATACAATTTTTTGAAATTACGAGGATCATGCACATCTAGTACCAGCAGAGCGTAGTGGTCAGCGGGACACAAATTTTGTGTCCTTTGCTTTAGCTAGCGGTGAGCGCAGCGTAAGCTGCGTCCAATGTGAAAGGGCCTTCAGGGTCATCCAGGAAAAAAACTGGACTCTAAGTAAAAATCTGTATTCACCAACTAGTTGGCAAGTGGTAGCTAACCAGTTGCAAACCTCCTCCGTCAGTAGTTTTTTATGGAAGACGCCAGCTTGCCTGCAAACACTCGTCAGCTGCACTTTTACAAGCTTCACTATGACTCTGCAATTAGTCGACAAGTATTTGCAGACATGCCAGACCCTTCTTAGGACCACATTCTCCTAGCTACACCCAGCTACCTCCAGCAACCACTAACCGACCACAGGGAGGTTACACATTTTCCTGAACAGCTGGAGGATGGTGGACAATCTGAGGGAAACTGTCCACTCACACTAAAGCCTCACCTGCTTAATCATTCTTTTTCTCTACAATGGGCCCCAAAACATACAAAACATAGCTTTGTGTTTTATGCAGTAAATCCTCAAATTATTGACTGAGCCATGAACTCATCATGACGGTGGTTATTGAGCCTGCCGATCAAGTAAGGAGCAGGTTGTTTTCCATACTATTGCATTCAGATTTAATGTTTACAAACAGAGGCATCGCCCCCTGCTGGCTATTACAAGTAATTCAAATCACAGGTCCCCATCAGCTTTTTCTTAACAGTTGCTAACGGCAACAAATATATAACACTTCACATAATTTATTGGTGTGATGCTGTCTTCCTGCTCTAAATATAATGAAAGGGTTATACATGGACAGTTTACCTTACTGACAAACTCCTCGTCTCTGCACAGCTCATCCATATACTCCAGGAAGGAACTGTTTTCCATGTTCAGGTACCCAGCCTCTCCATGCTCCTCCTCCCTGGGGTCTTCAGCCTGAGTGGGAAGCAGCTGGAACAGACGAAGGGTAAAATATCTATACACAAACACAGCTTACAAAATTTATTTTTTCTACTTGTGGATGACTTGGTTGAAAAAGGCTGTTTACAGTTTCAATACAACTGCTCACCTGGTCAAAGAAGGACCCTAGGAGACTAAAACATTCGTCAATGGAATGTTTGTTCACTGCTTCCTCATCTAAAGAGGCTGTAGGTCCGGGAAAACAACAGTCCTCTGTAAGACTGGCTGGGATGTTTTCTTTGGGAGTCTTGCTTTCATTGCCTGGTTCGGCTTCATTGCCTGGGTTGCCTTTGTGTGGATTGTTCTTCTGGTCCTCTGTTAGTGAAGACAGACATAGTAAAAACGGGACAATAACTATTAGCTTTTATTTCTCACTACTCTGCTAAAAGTCTAATTAAATTTCAATCATATTTGATTTTTTTTCAGCTGGTGGTCAGCTTAGCTGTTCAGGTACCTTTTGCACAGCTCTTTGACCCCTGACCTCCTGACCCTGCATCCACCTCTGTCCTCTGTCTTGATGCTGTTGTCACCTCTGCGGGCGAACTTATGTAGACCCTGTGGCACAAATGGTGGGGTCAGACACAATCAAGACATATCCAGTATTAGTTATTGTAACATGTGCAGTAATAGAGCCCTTACTGGTTTGCACAGTGAGTCTGAGGGAGCAGCACGATCTGCGGACACAGAATTGGTGGGAGGTGCCCGGGCCTGGAGCTGAAGGGCAGCTGTATGTAGGGCTGGGCCTTGTAACTGTAGCTGGGCATGGGCAGCCAGTAGGACTGTTGAGAAGAGTAGGGCCTATACAGGGGCTCGCCAGGCGATAAAGGCTGGAGGTGGAGCGGAGGCGGGTAGACAGCTGGCAGGAGGATTTGGAAGGAGTCCACCTGGGCTGGGAGATGCTGCACAGCATGCTGCTCCTTTCCTGGATGCCAGTCTACTCTATTTCTTTGCCTTTCTGCAGCTCTTGTTTGGGGGACAAATGGAATTACCCTTGCAGCTGAGCTCACAGGATAGAGCTGCTGTTGCTGAAGGTGCTGCCAGTGTTGCTGCTGAAGGTGTTGGTGGGGGTTGGGATGTTGCAGGGAGAATGGAAACAACTGAGCTGGATCCATCCTGGTTCTGTGCGTTTGCTTCTTTACTGTCAGAGATAATAGGGCGATTCATATTGGTGATTTTAACAGTTAAAGGATCGATGAGGATCAAGAAAGACCATTCTGTGTTACACTCTTTTAGATGTCAGAGGTGAAAGCATGATGGGCGGACTGGTTGGAGCTGATAAGAAGGCATCAGTAACTCAAATAAACACTTGTAGGTGCACACAAGGTAAGCAGAAAAGCATATCTGAATGCACAGAAGCAGAAGACCACATCTGGTGTCACTGCTGGCAGCCAAGGACAGGAAACTGAGGCTCCAATTTATACACAATTCCCAAAATTAGACAACTGAAGATTATAAAAACGTTTCCTCTTCTGATGCCCAAAGGCTCGTGTCTTATCTTAAAGCCAGCTTTCACTCTTGCAAACAGGTGCTTTGGAACTCCACGTATGGACAGCTCCACATTAACTAACATGTAAATGCTTAATGTGGTGTAAAGACAAATGTGTCATTAATAACACAACGAGATGTGACCGTGTCACCTACGTGGACATATGTCAGAAACGACAAACAAGCCGAGCCTGAGAAGCTTAGAAGAGCGATCTGCCTTTGAAAAGACCGTAGTAAGAATAAAAACAGTGATGCTGTGGGCTGTGTGCTCTAGCAGAGTATACTCTAACTGTGTGACTGTTAGACAACAACATTACTTAGCCGGGCTCAGTGCATGCAGATAAGTTTTTATTATTAACTTAGTGTTTAGGTGAGGGAGTTTAGATGCTTAAGACTGGGTTAGCTGAACTGGTGGTACAGAGTCACCTCTAATTTCAACACATGCCGTTTAATTTTAACATGAGCAGTTATGACAACCTTTATGAAAACAATCAGTGCTCAGTGAAAGATATCCACACAGTGGTGTTTGCAAACACAAGACAGCCTTTCAGCGTTACATGCACACGACAGAAACAGTGCACACTGTAGTTAATAGCATTTCTCGGTTGCCTTACCTTTGTTAGTGAAGATAAACTAATCTTCTCTTAGATGCTGTAGTAGGTGCACACTCTGCTCAGACCAAAATTCAAAAGAAACCAAATGAAGGCAAATTTTTGTATGTAAACATTCCATATTTCACCCACCGTGATGCACAAGAATTCTGCCCCCCCCCTCCCTCACCCCACACATACACACACATACACACACAAATTACTTTAATTATAGTACAGCTTTTATCCATTGCAACTTTTTATGACATGTGGGCTCATTGTTTTGTTTATTTATTTATTTGTCTCTTTTTGATTGCAGATACAAAGTGCTGTAATGTTTTATGAAGGAGTACAACATAATCATTAACGGAAAAAAGCAAATTATGCAAGAAACTTCAGGTTTAATCTTTTTATCTTATCTTATCTTATCTTATCTTATTTTATTTTTTAAAACTGGGTCACGTGACAATAATAAGCGATCGCGTTAATGGCAACAGAGTTCGGATCTTGTCCCCAGGGTATCGTTTGAGATTCAAACGGAATGCAAAGGGTAGAAAAAGCTAGTGAGACTTCGTTTCCCAGAATGCTCTAAGTGCTGAACCGGATATCCGCTCTTCCGTCCCATAGCGAACCAACGTCCGCTGCACGTGGAAATCCAAGAGAAAAGAGCGCATTACAGCAATTTTTGCGTTGTTTTCGATATAAACAGCTTCGTATACATATTTTGAACCCCTGAAGTGTAAAAACAAACCAGCTCGGTCGGGATGTTTCTGCAGTATTACCTGAATGAAAACGGGGACAGAGTCTACACTCTGAAGGTAAAGTTGTGTTTATCTCCGACATGTTTCCCTTTATTCTTTGTAAACGCGTCTCCGCTGCTAACGTTAACGTAGATGTAAAGAGCTGAAACACCTGGGAAAATGCCCAACTTTAAAATATGGTCTGTTTTTTTATATGTATGTTTGTATACAGTAAACATTACAGCAAAACGTCACGAAGCCACCATACGCACAGTTTGTACAGTCGCATACGTTTAAAAACCCGAGTGGAGTATCACTCGATAATTGTCATAGCTTGAGGTAAAACTGCTTTGAAATCAAAATAAACACGACAAAATACAAGACGTATGCGTTTAATTAAAGCTATTAGGTAGTAGGTCAGTGTAATATAGTGAAATATGTCAAATTGAGCAAGTGAAACATAAAAGTAGGTGGCTGAAAGTAGTAAAACACGACAGTTAACAGAGTTTATTGGGCAGAAGTTAAAGTAGGCTTTGGCATGTAGCTCAGGTGTGGTGGGGCAGTGTGACTTTGCAGAAAGTTGGAACAACAGTTTTCTTTAATATCTGTAGTGGACAGGCTGCTCTCTGCTGACAGCCCGTCTAGAGCTTGACTGGTCACAGCAGAGCCAGCTCTATAAGCAGCTGTATTAGAAGAGCTCATTATAATTGTCGCCCCTGTAAATTTTGTATAAATGTGAGACCACCGTTAATCTAATCCAACAACGAGGACTGCACCTCTTCACCGTGCTCTGGAGTGTGCCTCAGTAATGCAAACCAACCAGGTAACCTCAGCGAGCAACGCATGCACAGATTCAGTGTCTGATTTTCAGGAATCATGAGATAATTTGGGACGTTAAGCTTTCAGTTTTATTTGTCATATGCAAGTTAGCACAGGGTCAACATCGCAAAGAAATGGATTTGACGAGCAGAAGACAGTCACTCAGCAGACTGGTACAGTAGAAAAAAAATAAAATATAATAAAAATAAATAGAAAAATAGTAAGAGCAAAATATTAATAACATGTAGTAAAAGAAAAAGGAGATTTTCAGTTAACTGACTAAATATATATATATGTGTATGTGTGTGTATATATAAATATATGTACACACTAGTGATTAAATAAAGAAAATCTTAAATAGGAATGTGGGGGGCAGATGGGATATTGTACAGGAATGAGCAGCAGTACAAACTAAACAGTACAAAAGTTTTTGTTTTTTGTGGCAGTTGTTACAGTATTGCACTTTTTAAAAATATAAATACCAATAAAGGGGAGTGACCAGTGCAGATTATACAGAGTACTTGTGAAGCTGCAGGGTAGCTTCTGAGTGCATCCTGTGGAGAGTGTGTGTGTGTTTAAGTGTTGTGGTTGAGGTGTCGTATGGCTTGATGGTGGAAACTGTTTTTAAGTCTTGTAGTCCGAGCAGACAGGCTCCTGTAACGTCTGCCAGATGGTAACAAGGAGAAGAGCTGATGTGCTGGGTGGCTGTGGTCCTTGATGATGCTGTGTGCTTTACGGAGGCATCGCTGAAGATAAATGTCCTGAATGGCAGGAAGCCTCATGCCAGTGATGTGCTCTGCTGGCAGAGCAGCTTCCGTACCAAACTGTAATGCAGCTCGTCAGCAAGCTCTCGATTGCACACCTGTAGAAATTTGAGGTGATGTTGGCGTTCAGCTTGGAATTCCCACACAGCTAAGCGGTCCTTACCTTAGAGCGTAACTCCTGCTTCCCCTGCGGTCCGCTCTTGCTTCCATCTTCCTCCATCTCTTGAGTGTGAGGTTATCACACATTAACTTTTAAGCAGACAGATCCTGGGTTAGGACTGCACAGACGCAGTTTCTGTGTTTGGTGGTATTCATCGGGGTGTTTTGAAATTAGCTGCGATTACAGAATAACCAGATATGTTGGGCACGTAAGAGGGTATGCGCCCACAAACGAATGTTTGGAGTTGCCCTCGATGCGTTTCGTCCACCGTAAGGACATGTCCAACACTTGGCAGTTTTTACTTAAATGCTTTTAGTCGACTTTGAGGTACCTCATGCTTTTTTTTGTCACATTCACTGTGAGCATTTTCTTGCGTGACTTCCCTGTAGCTGTCGTGTAGTTTTATCTTTCTTCCTAATAAATAAATGTACATCTTGAGTTGCTTTTCATTTTAACCATGTTGTTTATTAAATCTGAGTCTGTTGGAAAGCCCTTTCGACAGCAAGGGCGTCTTGCATCCTGTGACTTTCCAATCACCTTGAAGGAAATGAGAAATTATGGGCAAGTTTTAGCTCAACAACTGTTGGTTACCTATTAGTTAGGTCACAAGTGAAGAAACTCTTGTGCTGGCTTGTAAAGTTGGGAGGTGGTCTAGTTGCCTGGGGCCAGTAAACACACAGCCTGAGGCAGAAGCAGTCTGCAGACACAGGAAATCTCAGTGATTGAATGTGAACATGGAAATAGTTTGTACACTCAAAGAAAAGGGAACTGTTAGAGCTGTTCTTTCAGATATAGGTTACTGGAGAATGGTTTTATTCCTCCAGCCCACTTAAGATCAAATTGGTCTGAATTGGGAGCTTTATTGAGGAATATAGGGCTCAGACTGGACAAACAGTGAATTCAGACAATAATAATACCATGACACCGACAATTGCAACAAGATGAGTGTGAAGGTGTTGGACTAAATGAATAAATAAGGGATACCTGGTTACGATACATACAGTAAATAAATGGGAACTTGACAGTGTTGTGTAAATGGTATATAGACAACAAAACGGTGTATACAGCTCGATTTGGTTCAGCAGCAGTAATAATGGATGTTTTAAGTACAAACACTATGAGAGTGTTGGTGTTACAGGGTGACGGCCTGTGGGAAGAGACGATCCAGGTGTCTGCTTGTTTTGGCATGAAGTGCTCTGTAGCATTTACCAGTGGGGAGGAGTTGGAACAGGTTGTTTGCGGTATGTCTGTGAAGGTTCTCAGGTTGTGATAGGTCTGCAGTAATTTCACCTGCTTGTTTCCTGACTCTGGATTTGTACGAATCCTGCATGGAGGATGAGTCGACACCAACGTTTGTTTGTTTTACCTGCAGACCCCAGTGTCTGTTATAGTCTGGTCTCGTCCTGTTAAATCCAAACCATACAGTAATGTTTTTCAGAGTGCAGAGAATGAACTTCTTGCAAAAGCTCAGGCTGTTCATCCTCTGCTGCGTCTTCTTGATGATTTTGTCTGTGTTGGAACAGCTGAACAGCTCCAACTGAAGTCTCCATTTCTGAGCATATTCAGCTCAAGATTGTTCTGATTACACCACAGGGACAGCTGTTCAACCCCACATCTGTATGGAGAGTCATCAGTCATGTCATCTGCACATTTCATGATTTTGACCTACAGGTCTTTAGTGATGCAGTTGTTTGTGTAGAGGGAGAGGACACAACTCTTGAGGCCACCACAGCTGATTTTTCCAGGTGCTGGATGTGGTTCTCCTCAGCGTCATCTACAGCTTTTGCTGTCTGTGTCTCAGGGTCCAACACTGGGCTATGAGGACCATGACTTCTGACTGCTGCAGTTCTAAACTGGTCCTGGGTCTGAATGGTTGTCTCTCTCTCCCTGTGTTAGCTCTGCAACGCCGCCAGCTGTCATGGAGAAATCTGAAAACGTACTGAAAATCTATTTTCATGATTTGAAACCCTTAAAAAGCACAAGCACACTCTTTTCTCTTTCCACAGAAGGTGACTCCAGATGGGGAGCCCACCAGCTCGGCCCACCCGGCTCGATTCTCCCCAGATGACAAGTTTTCCCGGCACCGGGTGATATTGAAGAAACGCTTCAACATACTGCTGACCCAGCAGCCCAAGCCTGTCATGTGAGGAGGAGGAGAAAGACATATCAGGATGGAGCTACAAGGAGAAGAGCGAGAAAACACCTGAGCCGGATTTAAAGGACTGCTCGTACCCTCTATTGATGCGATGATGGAATTTGTTCATTTTTTTTTTTAAGGGTGGCGGTTTTTAATTTGTTCATACTAAATAAATCTTTGCGTCATAGCTCCTCACGTGTTGCCTGTGTGTGTCTAAAATCCAGACTGGCTGACAGCTTGTTGGACAAATGAAGCATTTAAATGCAGATAGTCTTTAATGTGCCACCAACCTACCAGCCAGGGGGCGCTGTAGTATGAAGGTTGTCCTACAGGATTTCCCTATATCCAAAATAACACGATCACGTAATTTGTGGCATTATGAAAACACAGCTGATGATAGATTTGAGGAAGCACTTTAGCTGAGCCTGCAGATTTTCTCCATTTGTTTCCCAAGACAGCCATAACTTCCTCTCAAAGCTTTCTTTTTTTAAAAATCATTCTTTTACTTTTGCAGCCAAACACTGGATCGATTTGTAGATATACGACAGCCAGGTGACTCTTTGTGTGTGACTGCACAGGGTTTTTTTTTTGTTTGTTTTGTGTTGTTTTGTTTTTTTTATATATCTTTTGTCCACCTGTCCCACATTCTGATTGGCTCCATTTTGAAATTCAGTGCTGTTAAAGACACTTTAAGTCCTGACTGGTACTGAGTGGCTGTGATCAGAGGTCTCCAGCAGGTTAACACTTCACTTGTGTTTTGCTGCTGACAACATGTTAAAGGTGGAACTGCAAGTGACTCCAACATCACAAGATGTGTGCACAACATGATGCAAACTAATAGAAAGGAAGTGTAGATGTCATGGTGTTGTACCTTGGAGTAAACAAGAGGATATTATTAAAAAAACAAACTCAAACAGTATTTATGCTAAATGTTGATTACTGCTTATTTAAAAGAAGCCAATACAAAGAACTGGTACAAAGCTGACCTCCAATTGTTAAATAATGGATGGACATTGTGAGGGAAGTCACCTTTATGTCAGCTGAATAATGTGCTACCTTTTTCTAACTTAGATGGATTAGAGAACTATAACTTGGTAAATATAGTTTGTTTGTTTTTTTTTTTGTCCTTTTTTTTTTTTTTAAGAATTTGTCGGCTTTCTTAAAATGTGACAAAGTTTAGAAAGGAAAAAAGTTGTAATTCAAAAAAGTGCATTTGGACTGACACCCATATTTTTGTGGGAAACAAACGGCAGTTATTCAGACCAAAAGGAGAAAAGTACTAAAATTCACCTCCTTATGCTCATTGAATACTGCTAAAAAAAATCTAATTTAAATTAAGGGACCACTCAGTCATCACAAATTATCCCAAAGTCAGTTAAACTTCAGGGAGATCAGAGTGTACGGTTTGGAAACATAAATCATTTGTAGAAAGCCAATAAGAGGAATGGTTTCTCAGACTATTGCTCTTTCCTTATCCCTCCTGACTGCCGTTGTCACTCCTGTTAGCCTGAGGGATCACCTTGCATGATGAGATGATGAATGGTGTCCTGCTGGATCTTCTCCCAGTCCTAGATCAAGATATCTGTGGGCTCCTGCACAGCATTTCTGACATGATGAAAGGTCTGGGCTCCGGTCTGGGGTGTGTGAGGGACAGTCACGTCCAGAATCTGCCTGCACACTCTGATCACAAGAGGCCTGATGTTTTCCCACATGAGATGAACCCTGGGTTTACTGCATCAGCATAAGGTCTGAGGATTTAACCCCAGCACATTTTTGACCTATTTTCAGGCTGACTCTTATAAAGACAGCTTAACATGCCTGAAGTTGAACCGTTTTACACTGAAATGATCAAGCTTTCCCTTCATTTTCTTGAGCCATATATTTACTTACTTATATTTACTTAGTCAGATTAAAATCAAATTACCCGTAAAAAGTACTTAAAGCTTTCCCAGCAGAAAATACAGTGAAACAATGGAAAGAATTGATTACTGAAGTATTTTTAGAAGAACATACAATTTAATTCAGAAAATAGCAAAGGGCATAGTATTTCAGATATTTAATTTTACATTCTTGAATTGTTAATGCACCGATAATTTATGTAAGTTACATATTTTAGAGCCAGGTACTGGTTCCCAATATGTGGATTTGGGCCTAGTCCAAAGGGTCAGACTATAAGTGTGAGGAAAGAAGCAAAACTAATGTTAGCTGACAGAAGTACTTAAAACGTATTTTTAATATGGCAAAGTAACTAGTAGCTACAGCTTGCAGATAAATATAAAAGTACCAGAAATGTATTACAAATAGCAAAAGAGTGTGTAAAAAGTAAATCTGTATTAAATCTGGTATTGATCAAAAATATATTTAAAGAAATAAGTGATGCATTTCATATTTTTAGCAGCACTGTTCGTGTTCACTGTTCGATAGCTAGCCGCTGTCTACTCGAACTACATTTCCCAAGTAGCTTTTACCCCGTGTCTGTCACTAAGCATGCGCAAGACGTTTTAGCGACGGCGAGGAATAGAGGACCCCCCAGGCGTTCGCGCGTGTGTATGGTTGAGTCGATTGAACAACCCAAAAAAAAAAAAAAAAGTCCCGAGAAAACCTGGGAGACACTCCCAAATTTTTAGTGATTTAAAACAGCCATATGTGCATAGGGCCACATGGAAGCCAGAGCCAGGTATGTGTTTCATGTGATAACTGTCTGAACTCCGGGCTTTTTCTCTATCGGTGTCGGTGAGGCAGCCGGGGCTCCGCGGAGTTGACAGTTTATGGCACGGCTAGCCGCTGAGCTAGCTTCGGTTAGCCGCGCCGACTGTAGACGAGCGGCTTCACCCGATACGACCTCCACGTATGAGTGTGTGTATTTGTTACCACCTATGGATGTCTGGTTGATGGGTCGGCGCTGGGCGTGATGCTCTTCGACACAAGACGCTTGGTTGAAAGGAAAATCACAACTTTGTGAGTAACGAGCTAATTACCCGGCCGGTTTATCCCGGAATAACCACGCGTTTTTGGACGTTTTTTTACGTCTTTATTTTCAAGCCGCTCTTAAACATATCCCCCACGTCGTAAAAATCGCTCTTCACGAGGTTTGAGTTAATGTCTGCTTGGCATTTTATCCTAACGCTGGCTCTGGCCATATCGTGTCGTCTGCAGGTGTTCAGTGACCGGTTCGAGCCAGAATTATTATGGCCAGCTTAATTGGCTTACAATGGGCGGTGGTTAGAGAGGCGAGCATCCCAGCCAGCTTTGATTTCCCTAAACTGGTTAATTAAAGACTTTTCTTAATTGGTAAAGGTGTGTTTGGCCATGTCCTCGTCTCTGGATCATATTTGCTTACAGCCGCATTACCCTCGTGATGGAGGCTGCCTGCCAAAAGCGCAAGAGGACCCAATCTCCCTAATTTGACTGTAAAGTTCCTTAACGATAGTAAAATTAAGGCAGTATTTTCACTTAATTGATCTCAGACCTGGGAAAATCTTGAACTAGATGAGGTTAAAGCTAGTTACTGCTAGTTTAGCTAAAATAATAATCTTTAGTCATGGCGGTTAGATATGTTTAGGAGGTCAGGTAGCCTCACAGATATTGATCTGGGAGCTTGGCAAACTAATCCATGATCATTAATACTGGCCCACATTGGTAGCAAGGCATTATGACTGTCTCCTGATGCAAAGGTAACAGCTTAAAATACAAAAATAGGCCCCGAGTTAGCACGAAAAAGGAACAAAATGTGCTCAATCCTTATGCTTGGACAAAAAAAGGTGGCTGAATATGCTGTAATGTTATCTAAGTGACACACATAAGAGTAAATGTGTGTGTTTAACATATTCTTTAAAGGAAACCAGAGCCAGGCATTCGTTTCAAATGACTAATGTTTGAGCTCTGAGGGTTTGTCTTGGGCATTTGTAAGTGTTGATAAGGCAGCATTAATAAAAAATGACCAACAAAGAGGCACCAAAATTTTACTGGCACTGCTTGGGTAAAGGGTCACTGTAAATAAATCACTGCTCAGTGAAAATATTGTAAACTGTATGCAGTAAAACAAGTGAAAATCAGTCAAACTAATATACCCAAAAGTGCAGTGTTAAATATTCCAAGGTTAAAGCAATGCTATGTGTATTATAGATAAAATATTATAAGTAAATCCAGGTGTAATGGGAAGTTTGATGGCCACAGGTTGGAATGATTTTAGGTTTTCAGGTTTATTTATAAATGTTCTAGAGCCAAAACACAAGAATTCACCTCTAAGTGCTTTATATTGTGAGATAACTAGGGCTGCACGATTTTGCATAAAATGAGAATCACGATTTATTTGCTTAGAATTGAGATCACGATTCTCTCACGATTTTCTTTTCCAGTATAAATATTTATTGCACTTATTAACTGCACATCAACTTCGTAACAGTTGAGACTGAACATAAAAACAATAAATAAACATAAAAACAACAAATGTCTCACGTTTTGTCGTTGCCGCAAAATGTTGTACTGCTTGAAATTCCGTCTCCACCGTTGCTCACACTGCGTGTATAGAGCAGGTAGTGCAACAATAGAAAAATAGTTGCGGGACGGCACTGTGTAGCGTTTGTCTAGGGTGTTGATCATTTTCCTAAATCCCTCGTTTTGCACAGTGTTGATGGGAGCCATATCTTTGGTCAGGTGATAAGTGATAGCCTCCGTAATTTCTTTGTGCCTGCGGGAGGTCGATGGGTATGGGGAAGCGCTGTATAAGGTTCCCGTTATTGATGTTTGGGTGGTTGACCGGGACGGACTTTCTCCTGTCACTTTCTCGTCATCCCTGAGGTGCTCTCCGTTGTTTTTTCCCTGCTAATTTTAGCAGCCAGCTTCTGTATCACGTGGTATAAGGCTCCGCCCTTGTCATTTGTTGAGCAGGAAGAGTGAGCGCTTGTTTTCATGCAGATTACGTCCTGGATCAAAATGCGGTACAATCGTCGTCTTTTTTTTCTTATTCTTTTTTTTTTTTAAATCGTTGTCATTTGGAAATGAGATCGCACATAAGTATGAATAGAGATCGCGATTTTCTAACGATTAATCGTGCAGCCCTAGAGATAACCCTACAATAATACAGAGAAAACTCCTAAACTAGATGACTCTGTATGAACAAGTACTTAGTGATAGTGGGGAGGAAAGACTCTTGGGATGAAGACGGGCCAAAAGAGACACATGATTAGTACCTTCCAACTAGTGGATGACCTGCTCTTTCTCCTTCCTCGTCCTCTTCACATTGCTGGGGGTTTTTTTTTTTTTTGTTTTGTTTTGTTTCTTTGTTTTTTAAACCAAGCTGTTGTCGGTGAAAACATCAATCTGGAGGTTTCAGAACAAGACTTCAGAAACAAGCTCATGACATCATGATCACTACGTCATTCTTTTCTACTGTCTATGAAGCCAACATTGGCAGTCACATAAAGGTGGTCATCAACTGGATAGGTCAGCCCAGGGCTTCCCAGTCTAGCTACTTTGGACACTCGTACTATCTGCGCCCTGAGGTTCAAGTGTTCTTCTGGGAATAGTGATGCTATTTCCCAGGGATTCCATGGTGGTGGTCAGTATCATATAGTTGGTCTTGTCACATGTCGGGAAGCTGTTATTTCACTTACAAGATCATTGAACATGCAACAGTGAGGGTTACAGATGATTTATTTTACCACAGTGGTGGATCAGTATCATCACATATTTGAAGCCAAAGTATCTGTGTTATATCAGAAGTGTAGTAAACTGTGCATCTGTGGATTGAGGCATTCTCAGCAGGGATGGATATATTTGGGTGGATATCCAAGCATTTATCAGTTCTTCTGTCTCGTTCTTTATTGATTCTTTTATGATTAATTGTGGAAAAATTTAAGCCTCCACAGGTTTGGAGAATCTTCAAAACTCTAAAGACAAGTAACAGAATTTGATAAAATCCTGCATGTGACTCATGGCATGCGAAAGCTCTACTGCCATGAGTTTGATGGCGTCATTTAGTTACGCACAACTGTGAGAAAAACACACTGACACTGATAGAAGCATCTGATAAGCCTGGAGACATACAGCTCACATGGACTGGGTCATTTTGGAATCAGCCCTCAGTGGCAGTTTTAAAGGCCACTGCTTGCTCGTTGACCACAGCATGGTCACTGAATTGTTTCTACATTGCTCTCTGTATGTTGGCATCGCTACACATCAGCGTGAACTTAAAGTTGGGTTAGATTTAGACGGGCGTGTTGATCTCTAGTAGGAGGCAAGGCTCAGTCGTCTATCAGTGAATGTCAGACTGAAGATTGAGGTAGTAATATTTGCGCTGAGGCTCTGACATGTTCTGCCAGCTCATTCTATCACCTCGCTGTACGTTGTCTGCCCCCACCCCAAATCTAGCTTTCTTATTAGAAACACATGCTGGTGAGTTATAATGGAAACTAATTTAGGTGTAGCTCAAATATGGCTGGAGGAGGCTCACGAAAATAACCTCACGCCCGCCTCAGAGCAGATGCTTTTCACGCTGCAGCTTTCTTTATCTTTGAGAAACCCCCCTCCTTACCCCCTCTCCACCCATCTCGTCCACTTCTGAATGCAGACTGACAAAGACTGTTAGACGGGTAGCGTTATAAAACAGGAAAGAGAGGCCACGTCTGTGAATGCAGAGTGAGAAAAAACAGCCAGGAGCTACTGGCACAACCGGTTGGAACCGCTCTCTTTTAATAATTAAATTATGATTCAAGCTAAAACAACAATTCAGATACACAATGTCCACCTGTGCTGGGTCACTTCTTTCCCTCAGGTTAGTTAGCACACTGGATATCTAGTTCACTAACCACTGAAGGCGCTGGACAACAGTGATGTTCACAGTGCTTACTGTTTCACACCTCCTTTACTTAGAGAGCAGTCATGCTGCTCTGAGAAGATGATACTTGTGATGAACAGTCGTTTTCATAGAGTTGTTTCATTGGCATGTAGAGAAAAGGAATTGGGTTGAAATGTGTGGGTTTTTTATGTTGAGTTAAGAAGCACCATGACTGGTGCATAGATGCATTTTATGGTACAACAGAAGAAGTGCTTGGTGTTAACACACACTGTATATGAAAGATGGACACATCCAGCTCTCCCTTGTTGGTTTATGGATGCATTTAGTATTTTAGCTGCTGTTATTATCTTGTTTTTTTTCAGATTTCTTTCAGTTTGTTTGTTTCTTTTAAATTTAATTCTGCTTTATGTTTTTCCTGTCTGTCTGTACCCCTCACTGTACCACTTTCTTCCCTTCCTTTGCCCTGGCTCTGACCTCTAATGTGTGATATCATTATAAAGACATCTTTACCTCTAAGGTTGCTTGACAGACAAGTTTTACTTATGTTTACTTGAGAAATGGCAGAGAAAGACAAGTTTAATGCACTTGACTGCTGAGCCATAGGAATTGAAACAAAGTGCAGGTAGAAGAGAGAACGCACTGAGGGCAGTTTAAAGATTTAGCTTGATAATAAAAGACAGCCTCAGCTGTTTGTGTCATATCATGTCTCAGTTTTTATTCTACACATTCCCAAATTTATAGCCAGGGATTTGATCATTTTGTGCTTGTGTCACTGGAAACATTTATTTGTTGTACCTTTTCTTTCACATGCCGTGTGGAAGAAGTCTAGTTTGCTTAAATGGAGAATTTCAGCGTCAAAAGGGCAAATTGTAGAGGACGCCATTACCTCAGCATCAACTGCAAAATAGCCTAGCCTAGCTCAGCTCAGCCCTGCTGGCCAGTCCGTGACTCCTCCTTCCCCTTCCCTCTTCTCCCACATAGTGCCCCTCCACCCCTGTCTCTTTCAAGTGAGCTATAATGGCATCGGTGCGCTTCACCGTGACGCCCACTAAGGCGGAGGACCTCCCAGGGGGGTCAGACCTGTCACCTGACATCAGCCTGCGCTCCGGTTCCCGTGTGCGCTTTGAGTCAGACAGCGCCAACCGAAGTGACCCACTAAGCGAAGTTTCTGGAGGTGTGACGACGACTTCTGCAGGAGGAGGGGCTGACAGCCCGGATCACAGCAGCATAGACCAAGGTGAGGATACACACACCTAACACAAAGACATTTCTTTTTAACTGATGGTGTTTATTCTTTATACTTGAGACATGACAGCTGTCACGTCCTCTTTGAAGTTTCTTCATTGGCTGCATTATGTGTGACAGGCCTGTGCAGTGACCATGATTTAACCATCGGAAAAGGGGGACTAGGATCAGGCTTATGTTGCTTAAGTCGGTGTGTTGTTTCCTGGCTTTTGCTACATGATGACTGGTTTTTAAAATTGATTCTGATAAGGTTTGATTAATTGATTGATTTTTTTGTGGAAAAAATTTGACCTACCTAACTTTTCAGCTCGGTGTCTGAAAACGGTGTGGCAAGAGAACAGAAAAACGCTTTGACATGTCACTTCCTATGTGGCATGATGTCTGCGTCATTGACTTTGCAATGTCCAAGTGTCAGAAAAACATCCAGGCATCGATAAAAGATATTGATGAGTCTTTGAGACTTATGACTAGTCTGCTTTTTTTCTTTTTTTTCTGAATTTTACTGTCTAGTCTCTAATGCCAGTCCTTTTCCTGTCTTACTTGAGCCCCAGTTCAGTTTGTTTTAGTTATTTATATATATCCATTAGGGGTGCAACGATATTCGTATCGATATTGAACCGTTCGATACAGTGCTTTCGGTTCGGTACGCATATGTATCGAACAATACAACATTTGTAATTTATTTGATCAACTTTCCTTCTGACGATGCTGTCTGTGTTGAGCGCTCAGTGAATCTGCGTTCGACTACTCCGCCTAGGCTGCACTGTCGAGCGCAGATCCACTGAGCGCTCAACACAGACAGCATAGTCAGAAGGAAGAGCGCAGGGCAAGCTAGCAAGACAGAAGTTAAGCTCTCCTTGCAACATTCAGATCTGGCGTTTGGAATTATTTTGGTTTTCATGTGACGTATGACCCTGAAGGTAAGCGAGTCATGGACTAAAGTAAAACAGTATGTTGGATGTGCCATGCAATGCTCAATTACATGGGTGGGAACTAGTGTGTTAGCGCAGTTAGCTCGTTAACGTGTTGGCCGTCTAGCCCCATGCACGGGGCGATCGGCGGTAGCTCGTTAACGGAGATTTGCCGTGTTGTGGCGTTAAGGCCATTTCAACGAGATCAACCTGAAAGCACTAGTGGGAACACAACGAATATGACTGCACATTTACGCCGACATCATCCTAGTGCAAAGACAAAAACAACAAGCATGCTACTAACTTTAGCCGAGTCATTTAGACAGCTGTTAGCACATGATTCTCCTTATGCTGCTGAGAATATAGCCCAGAAGAAGCGGATAGTATAGCTTTTATTTTGGAAAGAGACATTTCTCTGTAATAAACTCTCTTTTCCAAAGATGAGTGATTCCTCAATCAGATACAGGGCTCGCAATATCGCTAGCCCGACGTCCCGGAGCTAGCGATTTTTTTCAGTCGGGCTACCAAAATCTCTCTGCCCTGCCCGTCCGGCTATCGTAGGAAGGAAAAATATATGTCAATGCTTTTGCATTCTTTCAGAAATGTAGCTGGGTAATTATGTCATTGGCATCGGTGAGCCACTGTCAATATGTGACATATTGAAGTCGCGTTTGAATTTGCGCTTGTTTTTTTGCTTTCACTTTGCAATCGTGCGAACTGTGTATAGAGAGCGACAGCACTGATCTGTGAGTGATGATAATTTGTGCACCAATTCCTCTGACATCGTCTTATTAATCGTTAGCTTACTATGCAAACATGACAAGTGAAATCTCCCGCAGCTTAAACATGTGAGAGGTTGATCGTGCAGAGAATCGCTGAGCTTATGTGAGTGCGTGTGTAAAAGCAGCAGGATATATATTTTAGTTCTGCTGAGCCAAATAAGACAGGTCAGGGTGAAGAAGTGACAGCCAAAGAAAAGCTTACCACAAAACGGAGAAGTTATGACAAATCAGACTATAAGGCAAAAAGAAAGTGCAGCTTTATGGTTTCATGGACAAAATAATTTCTGTGGCTGCAATATGATGAGCTAAATAACCAGGGCTGCACATAAGTGGTCCGCAGGTGCGCATTCGCTGTCAAAATAAAAAACGCGCACAAGGGTTAGGGTTAAATTTAAAAACTGTACTTTTGAGTTCAAATATATATTTATAATTTTAATAAATGACAAATTAAAAAGGCATGAACATTTTTTTTGTATCGAAAAAATATCGAACCGTGACACCAAAGTATCGAACCGAACCGAACCGTGAATTTTGTATTGTTGCACCCCTAATATCCATATATCCACACATTCTCTGTAAAGTCAGTTAAGTTGTGTTCAAGTTCATGCAGTTCACGTTAGTTCAGTTCACTTTGTTTTTGTTTTTATACCTCCAGACAGCAGCAGCAGACATCTCAGGGAACATAGTAATGTGAGATAAAGACTATGCAATATTAGAAAGGGAGCTGATAATGGTGCTTCTGTGTCTGCTTGCTAGATGCTTTTTTTTTCCAGGTTCAAGCATCTACTATGTTGTTATTCTTGGATCTTTTTTTAGTTGTCATTCTCAGGCCTTTACAGTTTTATAAGCACTAGTTGGGCTTTTAGTCCAGATTTTTATATTGATTGATATCCAATTTGATATTGATATCTATTGATTTAAAAAAAAAATCTGATATCAGCTGATATTTTCTGTTTTGCTTTTGTTTTTTCCCTTTTAGACACACAACATAAACAGAGTTCCCTCACATTTGTTATGTGTAGTCATTTATGAGTCCTTACTGAGATATTACGACTCGCAGCTCTGCTCGACACCACTTGGATCAGCTGGGTTGTTGTTTGTAGCGTTCCAAACACGAGTTGCCTAGAGGACGAGTGCCCCCTCTGGTGCACAACCAAAACTACAGTCATAATGTGTTGAATGGTGTTTCTCTCATCTCTCTTCATTTATCTGCCATTTAAAAAGCAATACTGATATATCAGCTGTTACATTGTTGAGATTGTAATTAATGTTCCTGACAGGGATCAGTGGGCACATTAAGGTGAGGATGAAGACTCATTCATCGCCATTGTTCTGAACCATGCTGTAGCATGTTAATTAAGTCATGAAGGCATTTGTAGAGGGTGATCTTCAGCATGTACTTCCTTTGTACTGTATGTTTGTGTATGGGTTTTTTGTTTGTTTGTTTTTCTTTTGCCTTTTTAAAATTTATTCTTTGCTTTGTCGCTTTTTCTAAATTCAGAATTGTTTATTCTATTACTCTTGTTCTCTTCTGCTTGCTTTCTTTTTTCTTTCTCAGCAGGTGATCCAGGTGATTGATATATGCATTTTTTTTTCTCTGCCCGTTCTGTTGGTTTTTGTCTTTTGCCCTTCTCCCCCGTCCCTCTTCTCAGCTGTTTCTCTTTCCCTCTTTCTTTCTCCCCTTCTTTCCCCCAGTCAAGTCTGTCCCGTATTCAGTAAGTGAAAATAAAATAAACAATAAAAGGTGAATCAAATGGACCATTACGGCAAGGCTGGGATGGTCAGTTTGGTAAAGTAAATCCGTTGGGCATCTTTCTTTGCCTTTAGACAACAATTCTGATGGCAAAAGAGCCAAACGGGACAGGCAAAAAAATAAATAAATAAATAAAATAAAATAAATAAATAAATAAATTCAGAATTGCTAGTTTGGTTTGAACAGGAAGAGCAGGGCACCCGCTGGGCGTGGGTTCATGAGGGGAACATTAGTTATGATGGCTCATGTTAAAACTAATGCTGAATTCCTATGCAACAAATTCCCACACATGAACTAGTGAGACTGGTTTTCACCGGACACAAAGAAAGGTCTTCTACAGCTTTTTTTTGCCCAGACTGTTCATTTTCTAGGAAATAAAAAGGGAAATGCTATTTTTAGATTCTTGAGATGTGCTCATGCATGTCTCAAGTTGAAAAATGCATTTTTAAATAGGTTTTATGGCTCTCTGGGCTGTTAAGCTCTCCATTTGTTTTTCTAAGTGAGAACTTGAGGCCAGAGTGCTCCCCTCAGGGCTAGTCAGCCAATTGAGCAACAGTTGAACTTCACCATTATTGCGGTTAGCAGAAACTGAGAACAATAAGAGGATTTCATTCTGTTGTGATTGTAGCGCATGTTCCACTTCCCTTACTGCCAAATCAAATCAAATCACTTTTATTGTCACATCACATGTGCAGGTACATTGGTACAGCACATGCGAGTGAAATTCTTGTGTGCGAGCTTCACAAGCAACAGAGTTGTGCAAAATACAACAACGTAAACAGGCAAAATATACGAATGGCTAAATCTGAAACTAATAAATATATGTACAATATAGAATAGTATATGGGGGGGGGGGGGGAAATCTGGATGTGTATACTAAATGTTTTTCTACGTGTGTGTGTGTGTGTGTGTGTGTGTGTGTGTGTGTGTGTACACATATTTTACAAATTAAATAGAGTCAATAAATAAAATATATAAAAATATACTAAAAATATACAGCCACATCAGTTCTGAACTGATTCACTTCTTTCCTTAATCACAAACCCCTTCACATGCACAGATATGTGTATTTTCAGAAGAATCCAGAAGAATAGAGGATAATGGTAAACAGCTTCCATTTTACTGATGTGACTGTGCAGGTGTCAAAAGGGGTTATAACCGTGCAGAGATGATCCGGTAAAGCTCTTTCATAGTAGTAAGCATGGCCCACGCTCTTTAATAAGCTTCCATAAATAGATATTAAGCCAGTTAACCCGACTTGAGTTTCGGTCAAGCTTTAGTGATGCTGCGGTGGCCGTTTGTGAGTCTGTGCAGAAATAGCAGAGCAAGCGTGTTAGAGGAAGAAAAATGCTGTTGTAGAAGTAAATGAGCCAAAGCCCTGAAAGACAGGAGGTGTGGAGAGTTATTTTCAGAAAGGTCATAGACTCTGTGATCCATTAATGTTGACACCGATAAAGTTCCCTACTGAAGCATGCATATAGTCCACACACTGCTACATCTGGCTCCAGTAACTTTCTGCTCCACTGACTGTACGTTCTCTCTCTCTCACACACACACACACACACACACACACACACACACACACACACACACACACACACACACACACAGTATCATACTCAGGTGTGGGCAGAGGACCTGTCCTCTTGGGGCCACACACACAGCTGTGTTCCCCTGTGCTGAACTGGGTGTGGATTATAGAATGAAGTTGAACAGCTGAGCACAGAGAGGACAGCAGTAAGAGCTCACATGTGTCTCTGGACAGCTTTTAGTTTGGCTAAGAGGAGGTTTTCAGATCAGTACTGGTGTAGATAGGAGCGTATAGAACTCGATGGATATCCACCAATATACTGTCAAACTGCAGCGTTTATTTTATTTGCAATAGTAACATACTTGGTGACAATAAATAGTGGATTGGTGTTCAGATGCATCTCCGTGGCCGGAACGGCAGGCTGCGACAGTAGTTCTCGTTTTGCTCTGCTGCATCAGTGATTTTGGCATAACGGCACATAAACATTAACTTGCTGCTGAGAGACTCAGCTAAATGACATCCTGCTGACACGAGCAGAGCAGGGTCTGACTGGTTAGTGCTGAGCAAGCTTTCAAAATAAAAGAATCTTAAATGACTCACGCAATTTCTTGGGTTGCAGTTTAAATACCTGGCAGCACACCCAAATAAAGCCTGTTTGTGGGGAAACAGAAATGTATACTTTCATATTTGAGGAAAAACAAACTTGGGACTGTATTTGTAAGCCGAGTTGGCTGTTCGGTTGAGAAGTGTCTGACCTGAGTCACATGTTGTTGTCTGAATCACTGAACATTTTTAAAAAGAGCAGCATCATCTGTAAGCTGTGCACACCAAGGCTGGTCTCACAAATGACGCAACAACAAAACTAACCACATGGAAGCAGGTAGTTTCCCCGATGCTCTCAGCTCTGATGCTGACTGTCAGTCAAATGATTTTCCACATTTAAAAAGAGTTTATTTTTTTAAGAAGGCACACAGTGTGAGTAGGTATCCTGTCTTGATGGTGGATCGCTATGTTAAATATGTCCTAATTGGTCCCTGTGAGCCAAAAGCTCAGACTTCAGACTGCCCTAGATGCTGGTTTCGGTTTGGCTTTGTATGATGTCACAGTTTACTGTGTAAACCTGCTGTTCAAACCTGTTTGTGAGGGCCAACCAATCAGAATCCCAATAATGTTGGCTTAAAGAAGTGTGTTCAAGATTATAACTGAAATCTTGATTATGCAGAGCTCATGTAGTCGAGCCAAAGAATGCAAATCTAAACGCGCCCCCCCCCTTGTGAAAACTGAAAGTTCAGATGATTTCTCCACAACAGCCTGAGCAGATAGAAAGTGTGAATCTCGACAGTCCTGATTAACAGGTTAAGTGCTAAACATACTGAGGCTACATCCACACTGATGCGTTTTGTATGAAAACACATCGTTTTGGCCTCCCATCCACACTGAGACGCCGTTTTCCCCAAAGGAGAACGCAGCGTTTTGAAAACGCTGTCGAAAACGCATACATTTGAAGAGGGTGCTTATGCGCCGCAGAGTGGACAGCGAAAACTGAGACTTTCGAAAACGATGACGCATGTTAGTCATGTGATGCAGTCATGTGACCAATTAAACTAAGATAGCGGAGGGCATTATACAGCAGTTGTTTTGTTTGCGCTCAATTTTGACAGCCCTATTAAAGATTAATATCAATCTGTACACGCTTCAGATAGCTTTTCTTCAAACTCTTTAATTCTCACTCGCTTTTGCAACTTTGTACTTTTGTGTTACTCACAGCAACAACTCCACCTCATTGTTAGTCCATTTAAAAACTCGGTGCTTTTCCTCGACATTTTGCTGCGACGTTTCAGAGAGCCGGAAAGTAAAGAAACAGCAGACAGAAATGAGGCAGATGGAATCTTCTTGCGTTTCACGCATGCACAGTACTGGACCGTAAGCGTTTTCGTCCGTTTCAATGTGGACGCACAACTCTGTGAAAACGACTGAAAACGCTAGTGTGGACGCGGAGACGACAACGCCATTTTCAAATCTATCCGGGCGAGTGTGAGCTTGTTGAGATGTGGCGCATTCACGTTTATCTGTGTTCATCTGACATGGTTCAGTTTCTGTGTGTAAAGAGCAGCATCATGAAAATCAGGAGCACGCATTAGATGACCTGCCAGTTAACATGTTTTATGAACAAATGAGCGAGCTATCTGATTAGCTCGTTAGTTAAAATCTCCCAGCATGCCATCGTGCTTCAGCTGTTGATTGTTAGGAGTGAGGTTTTGCCTGTGTTGAGTCAGTATCACACTCGGTATCTTTGGCCAAATGTAGCACTGCGAACAGGATGGGAAGTTACCACCCACCACACAAATGCTGGCTTTTTTTTTCTTTATTTCCTCCCAGGGATCGTTGATTCGTTTTTTTCTTTGGCACGTAACCAGCCGATGTTCTAAAATAGACAGTGAAAGCTGCTGAGGCAGTTTTAGATTCACCAGCTAGTGTGAACTCATTCATAGAGTAAACACTGAAAATGAATCATGCTCCCCCCCCCCCCCCCCCCCCCCCCGGCCGCACCACCAGGTGTGAAGAGGTGGAAGTTTGCTGTGTTTACAGGAAAATGAAGTAAATATAGGAAGATTTGTTATTTATTTATTGTTATTATTTCAGTTTGGGGTAACTTTACATGTATTTAAGGGGAATCCACACCGTTATTATTTATTTTGCTATTGGAATGTTACACAAGAAGGGAAAACTTGTCTCATCCCTCAGTCTCTGGTTTTCTTCTGAGTGCCCTTCTGTGAAGCGTGTGACCCTTGGCTGCTGTTAGCGTGAGTGTGGCGTAGCAGGGAGGGGGAAGTGATGCTGCTGACTCAGGTGCTGCCGATGCAGCGGTCTGCACCGGCGGGAGGAACCGAGCCAGCGACACGGGGTCGCTGCATCAAACTGTGACTGTGAGGGAAACAGCTGAAAGTCGACACCACCGAGCCATGATGACAGCGAATTTAAAAAAAAAAAAAAAAAAAAAAGGCTTCCTTTGTGCTCAGTCATATTCGTGCTGCATCATCCTTTCCTTTTCTTTCCCTTTGTTTATTATTTCTCTCTCTGTCTTTCTTTTATTGGCTAGGTGAGGGAAATTCGAAAACCTCCAGTGTGTACATCAACAGCAATCATCAGGTGGACGATGACGACTTCTACGACAAAAACCTGGCCTTGTTTGAGGTACAAAACATTTCAGCCACTCTTTCTAGTGGCTGTATTTGCTGCTTTCTTATAATGTATTCACTCTTATGGTTTTATTATACAGCACAGGGCTAAGAATAGAAAAGGATGGTGACTGTTTATTTGATGAATGTCTGCTAACTGGAGCCCAGAATAACCAGCATGTGGCTGGTGGGTGTAGATAATTTCAGGTTTTATAGCTTACAGAGTTCCTTCTTCTCTCTCCCACTTCTTTATCTATCGGTTCAGTATGCCTCTTTGCCTCCTCTTCTTTCATTCTGTCTGTTGCCTTTCTCCGGTTGTCATTTTATCTTTCTTTCACTTGTTCTCCTATCTTTACTTCATCTCTGCCTCACAGTAATTTATGCCTTTCCTCCTTTTTTTAAATTTGCCCCATCTTTACTCCATCTGTTTTAATCTCTTTCTCGCTCCACCATACTTCATTGTCTCCTCTTTTTGTTCGTCCTCTACCCACAGGAGGAGATGGACACTCGGCCGAAGGTGTCCTCTCTCCTCAGCCGCCTGGTCAACTACACCAACCTGACTCAGGGGGCCAAAGAGCATGAAGAGGCCGAGAGCATCGGCGAGAAAAAGAAACCCAGCAAGGTACAAACGAATAAACCTTGAAACACACGTAAACACAAGTGTGACCTCGTAAAACATTAAATCCCTTTAGTGTTTTAATGAGATTCACTGGATGGCGAGGCATGTTGGGCAATCTGCCCATATGGAGTGCACAATTCCAGCTGTACTTTGTCTGGCTGAACAATGATCTTTTACTGCAGTGTCATAACCAGGATGAGCCCTGGTTGTAGCAATGGTGTAGTAAGTACAAAGTTGATCTGGATGACAGTAACAATCCTCACATGGTCACTAGTTCATATGTTGCACCTGAAACAATAAAAATAAAGACATCCATTTGTTCATCAGTTTTTGAGGCCCTGTCCTAGAAAACTGACTCTTTCTGCCGCCCTCCTGACTCGCTGCCTCCAGCTGAAATTGCGTTTGGATGTAACCCTGGTGTGGAGCCCAATCCTTCCTGATAAGGCGCTGGCTGGCCCAGATAAGAACTGCCTGTCTGTTTTGGCGGTTTGAGAGTAATTGCACGTTTGCCGGATTGCTCGGACACATTTGCCAACAGACGGCAGGGAAAGTTAAACCAAAACATGTTTAATCCTCCCGTCTGGACCCCACCGTGTGTTCAGTACAAGCATCAACATAAGTCTGGTACAGCAGGGAGGAGCCGTGCAGTGATTTCAAGACCTTACCTGGAAAGATGACAGTGGAGCAGGGCTAGTTTAATGACCAGCTTTAAGAGATTAATATTTGGATAAGAAAACATTTGAATGGAGAAGGAGCAGCGTTAAATCCCAACTGGACCAGAGTAGAAGTGATTCATGGGTCTCCATGTATGTGTGCTTCCTGCAAGCAGATGTACAAAATGTTAAAAACATGGGTTTCCTAAAACATGGGTTTTCGGACACTAGGGTCATTCCATATGTTACACACCGGCCCGAAGCCGGGGTGCAACACAACAAAAAGATAAACCCGATACATAATAACGACAAAAAAAATCACACCACGGCAGAATGACGAGAGTTGGTTAATTTATTTGCTGAACAGGTAGCGAGCTTCAGGGTGGGCGATGCCAAAACAACAAACAAAACACACTAGAAAGAAAAACAAAGCTAACTTACCTCCCACGATCCCAAAACAAAATACAATTCTCTAACCTGTCTCCCTACCCGAAACAGGAGAAAAGAGGGGAATAAAAGAAAACGGCTTCCCACCCCTACAGCTACCAAGCCCAGGTACAACCCCTTTTTCAGCATTAATATTGCAGCCCCGTGCAGTCACACACCACGACGGTCCCCAGACACACAGCTCACGGGAAACCAGGAAGTCTGCTCGCCGACCCAGTCCAACCCCTTTTGTAGCTGGCCTCTTTCCTTCCTCCACCAATGGGTGGCCTCCACCTGGAAACAAGCAACACTGAATACAAATACAAACAATAACAACACCGTACTGCAAATAATGACCCTGGGTCATAACACCCCCCCCACCTAAAATCAAGCATCTCATTAGGGAGATGCTAGACCTAGTATCAAAAACATTAAAACAAACAAACAAATCGAACACTTCCTAGGGGGAAACCCGACTCATCAGTCACTGTCTGTGTCATCACTGATGATCCCCTGCAGGTTGGCCCATTCGGACATTTACCTGCGACCTCTGTGGGTATTGTTTTCCTGATCACTGTCTGATTCCGAGTTTAGAGTGCGCTGATATTCAGAGGACGGACAGTCCTGTTGTTTCTGACTTGCTGAGGCACCCCTGCGTGTAGGTCGACCTTGTGTGGTAATGATGTTGTTAACATCAAGAGCAGCCAGTTCTTGAGCTTGCTCTCTCTTCATTCTGACCTTTTTCCATTTCTGAATAGTTGGCTGACCATGTACACCAAGCTCTTCAAGCTCCTTCCTCAGAACAGCCACCTGGGAGCGGCAGTCCTCCAGCAGCTTCTTGTAATTTCTCCTCACGCCGCAGAGGGCAATATAACGTTCAAGCCTCGCCACCGATTTGTCATCAGACTTTGTGAAGAAAGATGAGAGCACCAGAAAACCACTCTTCTTCATCTTTTTATCATTTGTTTTATCAGTCTTATTTTCTTTTTCATCTTCCAAAGAAGGTAGTGATGAAACTGAGTCTGGGTCACTGGTTTTCTCTTCCACTTTTGTATCTTCTTTTTCACTGTCAGAAGACTCGTCGCTCCTAATTTTGTCACTCGTTTCTGACTTGCAGTCTCCATCTGATTCGTTTCCTGCATCACTCAGTGGTGTTCTCCTTCCTTCATCTTTACTGCTGGTTACTGTCCCGATGTTCATTCTCACCATTTTCTTTGGACTGTCACTGCAGTTGCTTTCCTCACTGAGTTCCTCATCAGAAGACTCGTCACTGTCAATTTGACGATTTTCATTTCTCTTTTGTTGTGATTTTTTTCACCTCTGGCTCTTCACCATCAGCATGAGATTTGGCATTTTCTTCATCATTGCTGCTTTCTTTACTTTCTTGAACCTCAGATTCTGATGATGAGCTTGAATGATTATTTTGTGATTTCTTTGCCCAGGATTCATCTTCACTCTCACTCATGACCTCGTCATTTCCATTTTCTCTTTTCCTTTTGTTCTGGAGCTTCTTAGTCTCTGAGTCACTTTCACTTTCATCATTATCCTGCATTTTCATCAGTTCCTCTTGCACCACCTGTTTCATGAAAGTTTTTACTTCTGGCCTTAATGAGTCACATTTGTTGTGTGTCTGATATCTCTTTTTTAAAATTCCCAAGGTCAGCGTGCTCAGGTCTGCCTCGTCACGGAGTTGACCACACACAAACCTGCGGATACCTGCTGCCTCCTTCTCCGACACCATACTAAAAACCTTCGCCGTCCCACCATCTACCCCCAGAACAGAACTATCATGCGGCTCAGAGCCGTCCGGAAACATTTCGGATATGTCCACCTCACCACCCGAGCGACGAGCTTGAGCACGAGTAACCACACATGCCGGATAAACTGTGGGGTCACCCAGCTCCGACGGGAATTGGCATAACCGATCCGAAGTAGGACACTCAATAACTTCCGGCATAGCCGGAAACACTTTTCCCCCGGCCAAGTCATTTCCCAAAACAAGATCAATGCCTTCAATTGGCAGCTGATCTCGAACCCCCACCCGCACAGCGCCCGATACGAAGGACGAGGTCAAAGTAACCGTATGGAGAGGCATGCGTAAAAGACTCACCTTGATACCCCACACCAGCAAATCAGAACCACAGTACGACTGCTGAGAGCAAGGCACGACTCCATGCCGCGCCACCGAATGCTTCGCCCCTGTATCCCTCAAGATGGTGATCGGAACCCGGTCCCCCGCATCACCAGACAACGATAAAAACCCCGTCGAAACAAACGGTCGAAACACCTCATCTATCCCCCGCGGAACGACGCCAACCGGCATTAAGCTAGGGCGGGTTACCGCGGAGCAACACTGCACGGCCCCCCCCGAAATGTCGGCCCGCGCCCCCTCCCTCGCCCTCAGCACGGGACAAGAAGCAACGAGATGACCGAGCTCATGACAAAAAAAACATCGGCGGTCCCCAGCGGCCACCGTAGGGCTACGCCGCGAGAGCGGGGAGAACGCCCCCCCCCCCCCACCTCCGGCAAAACTCTAGAACCCCGACGTAACGGAGGGGAAAAACCCCTCTTGTGCGTCAAAGCAAACTCATCTGCCAGAACCGCCGCTTTCGCGAGGGAAACGACCTTCTGCTCGTTCAAATAAACAACCACCCGCTCCGGCAGACACCCCTTGAAATCCTCCAATAACATCAACTCCTTCAACTGTGCAAACTCCTTAACCTCACTAGCCTGGCACCACCGATCAAAGAGCAAACCCTTCTCGCGCGCAAACTCCACATAAGTCTGATCCCCCCCCCTCACACACTGCCGAAACTTCTGACGGTACGCTTCAGGCACCAACTCAAAAGCACGCAATACGGCAGCCTTAACCACACCATAATCTAAGCTCTCAGATGCTGACAGGCTAGCCCACACCTCCTGAGCCCTACCCACCAGCCGACACTGCAACAGCAAAACCCAGACCTCCTCCGGCCACTTTAACGCGGCAGCCACACGCTCAAAAGCAGGAAAAAACGACTCCACCTCTGATTCACAAAAGGGCGGCACCAATTTAATGTGCCTCCCAACATCAAAATCCTGACGGAGAGCCGGGGCGGGACCAGGCGCCGGCGGCGCAGGGAGCACAGAGGGCGCAGGCGTGGGCGGCGAAGAGTCAGGGGCACGCGGTGGAGGTCCGCGCTCCAACTCCAACGCCCTCACCCTCAAATGCATCGCTTCCACCTCCAACCGGCGACTACTTAACTCCACCTCCTTAATGCGGAGCAACAACTGGAGCTCCTCCGCCGACGACCCCACCACCGGAGCAGGAGGAGCCACAGAGGGGGCGGCCACAGGAGGAACAGACAACGGAGCCAACGGCTCCATAGCCGCCCCGCCCGTCCCACCAACAAGCGGCACGCTCGACAGCAAACCCCGCTCGCTCAAAGCCACCGTGACAAGCTGTCGCAAATCATCCTTTTTCACCCCCGCCGGCGCTCGCACATCAAAACGGCCCGCAATAAGCAGCAAATCCTCCCTCCGACACCGACTCAACTGCTGCAAGGAAGGCGCCTCAGCAAACTTATCCACATCAAACTCCATCCGCGGCCACCCACACAAACAACCCCCAAAAACACAAAAAAAAACCCCACACACCCACACGAACCCCACTACACACAAACGACCCCGAAATCCCTCAAACGGACGAGCCCCCATTTATGTTACACACCGGCCCGAAGCCGGGGTGCAACACAACAAAAAGATAAACCCGATACATAATAACGACAAAAAAAATCACACCACGGCAGAATGACGAGAGTTGGTTAATTTATTTACTGAACAGGTAGCGAGCTTCAGGGTGGGCGATGCCAAAACAACAAACAAAACACACTAGAAAGAAAAACAAAGCTAACTTACCTCCCACGATCCCAAAACAAAATACAATTCTCTAACCTGTCTCCCTACCCGAAACAGGAGAAAAGAGGGGAATAAAAGAAAACGGCTTCCCACCCCTACAGCTACCAAGCCCAGGTACAACCCCTTTTTCAGCATTAATATTGCAGCCCCGTGCAGTCACACACCACGACGGTCCCCAGACACACAGCTCACGGGAAACCAGGAAGTCTGCTCGCCGACCCAGTCCAACCCCTTTTGTAGCTGGCCTCTTTCCTTCCTCCACCAATGGGTGGCCTCCACCTGGAAACAAGCAACACTGAATACAAATACAAACAATAACAACACCGTACTGCAAATAATGACCCTGGGTCATAACACCATATAAAATCAGACACATATGGGAATAAATATTTGCCATCTGCCCCGCCACTAAATGAGGCAATTTGACCATACCAGGAAAGTTGTCTGAGTCCGCAGAGTACATAAACATGGATTTGAGGGATTTTTTTGATTGTTTGTTTGTTTGTTTGTTTTCCAGCAGTTTTGAACCATTTTTGAGCTAGCAGTAAGACATTTAGGCTCTGTTTAAAAGCTGCAACCAAATCCATTTTATACCCACTCCAGGTCTCATGATATACAGCTAGACTCTTGTTTTTGTACAACATGATGTTTTTTCTGAACTTTGTGTGTGAGTATCATGGCATAAATAATTTCTATAGGAAAACTTCTCCGGTTGACTGTCTGTAGAGTATTGGGCCCAGGCATTAGTACTGCTTTTTGGGTAAACCTTCAAAGTCCACATCACCAAGTGGGACAGGTGGCAGGTCAAAACATGTTGCAGTGTATGAAAGGTCTGCTTACAGCAGAATGTAGATCATTCAGAATGTAAGCTTATTGGCTAATTACAGTATCTAATATTAGCTTCCTCTTTCCTCTGATGAATCTAATGTTTTTAGCATTTGCTTGTGGGGCTTGAGCCTGTCCCATCTGTCGGAGGGCGTGAGAGGCTGTTAAGGGGCAAACACATTCACACCTACAGCTAATTTAGAATCACCAGTTAACCTAACATGGACTATGGGAGGAAGCTGGAGTACCCTGGGGGAGCCCACACAAATGAAGTTGTTGAAGAATGGCTAAAATGATGTTCATCGAAAGTCTGAATTAACCTTTAATGTAACATCAGTTTAATGTGTTTAGTTTCGTTTTATTTACAGATGAAGGTAGTATGATGGACTGAAATAAACGAACAAATTCCAAATGAGCACCTCAGTGTAACATTACGTGCTGTCTTTGGATTTCGTTTCTGCTTAAACCTTTTTTCTTCTGTGTAATCTTCCAGTCGCCACAGATGGGGACGCTGATGGGCGTGTACCTTCCTTGTCTGCAGAACATCTTCGGCGTCATCTTGTTCCTGCGGTTGACCTGGGTGGTGGGAACTGCCGGCGTGCTGCAGGCCTTCTGTATTGTTCTTATGTGCTGTTGCTGTGTGAGTATTGGAGTATTAGCAAGCAGCCCCAAGGAGACAAAAACAGGAAACCTTTCTAAAACACTGCCGTCTCTCCTCTCCAGACAATGTTGACCGCCATATCAATGAGTGCAATCGCAACCAATGGAGTCGTACCAGGTATTCCTTTATCTTTATGTTTCTTCCTTCATTCTGTGGACACAGTGGCCCAGAGATCCTTCCTTCTTGTCTTTCTGCTTCTTCCTCCTCATCTTCTTTACTTTTCCCTCTTTTCCTTCCCTTTATTTGTTCTTCTCTCTACTCTTTCCTCCCCTCCTCATTCTTCTTCTTCCATGTTTTTTTCCTTCCCATTTATCCACACTTAGAACCAGTATGAAGAGCACAATGGGTACTGTTAATCTATTAGATTAAGATTTACACAAAGTGATTTACATAGATTAACTTTACATAATGAATGTAACTTATTTCTTAACTTCATATTATTCATCCTGTAATTTATTTACGCAAAGAAAGAAAATGCACTCTTTACAAAAAGCTATAAATCCAGCAGGGTGCTGAGTTTAGGGTCACCTCTGTGTTGTCTGCTTCAGTGTCTCTGAATTGAAGTGTATTTCCACAATAAATCACATTTTTATGTGGACACTTTGCAGTGGACTGAGTCTGGTGGCCTCTGTGGATGTTGTGTTGACTTTTGTAGTTTGTCTTTCCCGGTTGTCCTTCTCATTTTCCAGCTTTGGGCGCGCTGATGACGTTTTGCTAACGAGTGTTATTTCTGTGTCCCGTCTCTCCCTCTGTCTGCTCTCCCTCTCTGTCTGTGCCTTCATTAAAAACCTAGAATATTTATCTGCCATTGACCTTTTCTCTCGCCGAAATGCCTCGAGGCGAATATCCTGAGTGTCAGAGTAGTTTGATTAACTGACTTATTTTCCAACAAGCATGGCACAGTTTGATAATTGAATGTAGAACGAGAAAACCTCTGTAAAGTAGAAAATTAATCTAACAAGTTCTGACTCTCATCAGGCATTTTACCCCACGCTCTGTCTCACCTGAGCAGCTTCCAGCTGTCATGCTTTCTATTCTCAGATGGTAGCGATTAAGTGTGTGTGTGTGTGTGTGTGTGTGTGTGTCTGTGTGTGGTTTACTGAGGTCAGGCTGAACAAGTAATAAAGTGTGTTTGGGTTCTCAAATACAGCTCAGCACTAAAAATCACTCAGCCTGTGCAGACATAGTGACCTGAAAGTCCAGCAGGTTTTGTGGCCTCGCTCAGGAACTTCTCACATTAAATATGTCTAAATCTACCACATTCATATTCAATTACATTTTTTTTGTGACATCGACCCTGCTGTGTGTTCCTTTTTGTGTGATGTTCAATGCTGCTGTTTGGAAACCAAACACCGAATTATGCTCGCAGTCAGCAGAGTATTGGTATCTGCTCTTACTGCCTCATTTGTGTTATATGTGGTTCAAATGGTATCAGCAAATAGCCGCTGTTTGCCTTGCCACACTTGGAGTAGCAGTTGTGTAGGGGCAATGTTAATTTTACCGTAATGCGGGCTGGGCTGTGTTACCCGAGTGTTGGCTTATTCACGTACAGCCTGGTGCTTGATGTCAGAAGGTTGGATGCATTAAGCTCGACCTGGTCCAGCACTTGGAGTGAGCTGAGCAGCTGCTGCCGTGTGCATTTGCAGATGCCGTTTGAATGAAAGCCCGCTCTGTCTGTATTTGTGTCACATAGAACATTATGCTTACTTCTACAAGCATAGTATGACTCCTCTTTTCTCCCCTTTTGCCTCCCAACATCATAATGTTACTAACCATCCACCGCCTCCGCTCTTTCTCTTTCTTTTTCCACCCTTCTTTTCCCCCCTCCAATCTGTTTCTGTCTTCATCCCACTTTTTTCCATCCCTCTTTCTCCCTCTTCATTTCCACTTCCTCCAACCCTTACATACACCTTCCTCCTCCTGCTTCTTTCCTCCTCCTCCAGCGGGAGGTTCCTACTTCATGATCAGCCGCTCTTTGGGTCCAGAGTTTGGGGGGGCGGTAGGCCTGTGCTTCTACTTGGGCACAACCTTCGCTGGAGCCATGTACATCCTGGGAGCTGTCGAGATCCTTCTGGTGAGTTGCTTTGTTTGCTTTGTTGTTGTTCCAGTTAGTATCGTGTTCTCCAGACTTTCTTCTGGATGTAAAGGCTTACGTTGTGATCATTGAGTGACTCTATACCGATACGAGGTAGCAACGACTCATTGCCTTCACTATATGTGGACCTCACAAAACCCATAAGCTCAGTTATTTTAAATAAACATGTGACCTGATTGGCTGATTTGCACTAAACACACTTATATTACTGAACCTTCAGATAAGTGAGGCCTGCTTCTTGCTCTCTTCCCTCTCCCTCTGACAGATGTACATTGCACCCAGAGCAGCGATCTTTGAAGGTGAAGGAGCAGCCATGTTGAACAACATGAGGATATACGGCTCCATCTTTCTCCTCTTCATGGCCTTGCTGGTTTTCGTGGGGGTCAAGTATGTGAACAAACTGGCCTCTGTCTTCTTGGCCTGTGTCATCATCTCCATTTTATCCATTTATGTCGGAGCGCTGGTTTCTGCCTTCAGCGTGCCGGATTTTCCGTGAGTCTTGATTATTTGGAAAAACACAGAGCTGACCGATCATTTATGCGTCACATTTTTGACTGACTGGGCTTTCATCCACAGCGTATGCATGCTGGGAAACAGAACTATCAACGCCCATGATGTTGTTGACAACCACTGTAGTAAAACTGTCCTGGTTAAAGTTCCAGCTGAGAAATTAGACAGCAACTTCACGATTAACGGTGGGTTCAGATTTCCTTCTTTCTGTTATGAGTCATGAGGAGTAAGAGTGTCTCTCTGAGTTACACCAGTGTTTTTCTGAAACACTGTTTTTTTTTTTTTCTCTCTCTCTGATAGAAAACAGCACAGTGGGCCCCACTTTTGACCCCAGCCATGTCCCAGAGGTGATGGTGGAGAAGACCACACATCTTTGGAAGTTATTTTGCCATAACGCACAGCTCAACACCACCTGTGACGAATACTTCACTTCAAACAACTTCTCTGAGATTAAAGGGATCCCCGGACTGACTAGTGGGGCCATATCAGGTAGAGTGCATGCATGAGGAGTGCAGTGATTCTCTGAATGAGAGGTCATATAAAATATGGACACGGCCAATGTGATATCATCCACCTGTTACGAAGCCAAGCTGAGTGTTTTACCATTGCCTCTTTGTTTGTTTGTTTTTTAAATCTGATGAGGGTGGTCATTAGCCAAGTCTGGCTGTGTCCATCTTCTTTTTAGTCTGTGGTCTCCATGGAAGTTCCAGGAAAGTCTGGGATTGCACTGTTAGTGTTGTTGGCTGAAAGCTAGAACCTCACTTATAGCTGACCAGTATGAAATTACTTATTTACTGAGTGTGCATTTAAAAAAATATCATCGATTAAAACTTTAAACCGTCACATTTAAACAGGCGTTAAATTGTTGTGCTAATGTTGTTTTTGCTAAGTGACTGTAAGAAGGATAAGTAACCAGTATCTGTCCCTCTGGCTCAAAATGTATTCTTGATTCTTCCTGATTAAAAGAGGAAGAACTTAGTATTGATGTTTTCCCTTGTAGCTATTAACTTAGCTTGAGCAGCTGAATGACGGAATAACAGGAGTAAAATAAATATGGGCTCAAATTGTGGTCATAAATATTTTGTACTTGTAAATCAGGGTGTGTGTGTGTGCGTGTGTGTGTGCGTGTGTGTGTGCGTGTGTGTGTGTGTGTGTGTGTGTGCGTGTGTGTGTGTGTGTGTGTGTGTGCGTGTGTGTGTGTGTGCATTCAAGTTACAAGTACGAATTTTGACCCGGTTTTTCTTCCTTTCATCTGATTGGCCAATGTTATGTCAATCACAAATTTAACTATCCAATCAGAGAACAGGTGGGTTTGGCTATTGGAGGGGTGCTTTATGGAGTCCACACACAAATCTTTTTTTACACATACAAATCGTGATTTACAAGTACAAAATATTTATGACCACAATTTGAGCCCATAAATAAATCCTGACATACTGTGCTCTGTAACAGTAATGGACCTCAGCTGGCCTGGTGCAGCAGAATGCTTTAAAAGCAATCTGGTCTGAAGTTATGTTGGTGCTTTAAGGAGAAAGATAAGAAATCCAGTTTTTATCCCCCAATATGTGAACACGCCAAACATCTTAGATGAATAAAATGAACATAATATCACAGACAGGACAGAATTTCTAGGTAGAGCTGAGAGGCAGAAGGCTTCACAGCTCACAGAAATGAGAATTTGAAGGTCCAAGTCTGAGGCCATGGCCCTCAGGTGGAAGAGAGTGGAGTGGTCACCCCAGGTCAAGGACGAGTCCCTCCACTGCCCCAAGTGGAGGAGTTTAAGTAATTTGGGGGTCTTGTTCACGAATGAGGGGAGAGGGAGATCGACAAATGAACCACATCACTGCACTGCTCTGTTGTAGGAAAGAGAGAACTCTATGTAAACGTGAAGCTGACAGTTTACTGGTCAATCTTTGACTTTACTCTATCTTAGAGAAAGGGTGAAGAGTCCAGTGATGGAAGAGGGGCTCAGAGTAGAGCCACTACTACTCCTCATTGAAAGAATCCAGCTGAGGTGGTTCAGGCATCTCACTAAGATGCCTCCTGGCTGAGGTGTTTTGGGCTCGTCATACCGGAATGAGGCTCCGGGGCAGACCCAGGGCATGCTGGAGAGATTACATCTCAGCTGGCCTGAGAATGCCTCAATGTCCCCCTGGATAAGGTGGAGAAGTGGCTATGGAGAGGGAGGTTTGGACTTCTTGGCTAGGGCTGTCGCCCCTACAACTGAGCCCTGGATAAGCAGCAGTTGGAGGATGTTTTATCAAAGGAGACGGAGGCAGATATTATACCAGCTTACTAATGCTACACTAATTAGGGCCTCTAAATCTAAATAAATGTGAATGTGTAGGTGAATGTTTATCCTCTGCCAATGTCAATGACTGATCTTACATGGGTTTTTTTTTTTCTCCCTCTTAACAGAGAACCTGTGGAGTACATACCTCCACAAAGGGGATGTTTTGGAGAAAAGATCCCTCCACACCTCTCAAGTTGCACACCCAGCCTCTGATCGCTATCCGTACGTGTTTGCTGACATCACCACCTCCTTCACAGTGCTCGTGGGCATCTTCTTCCCCTCGGTCACAGGTACAGACGCCCCTAAAATACTAACTGGGCTCCATTCAGTGTTAATTCAGAAATATAAGCATATAAGAAATTTAAACCTAATATTGGCTTGGTTCAGTGATGAAAACGGATCATTGACAGGAAAAGCGCTGTAGGCGTGATATTGATTCCCGCTCACGGTGCAGCTGCTGATTCAGGATCAAACCTGTCAGGCATCTATTCTTGGATTTCTGTTTGTGTCTGTGCAGTTGGCTTTATTTTCACTTTTTAGCTTGAAAAAACTTTAAAAAAGAAAAAATATGGAGATGGATTCTCTTTGATTTGAAATATTGATCACACATTTCACTCATGAGGGTGTTTATTAAAAAACTGTGGTATATTCAGTGTAACATTAAAGTTGATATTTTAAGCACAAAGCTGTTGAGTTATCACTTATCTCCTCTTCCTTTGAATGATTTTGTTTCTCAGGAATCATGGCCGGCTCCAACCGGTCGGGGGATTTAAAAGATGCTCAGCGCTCCATCCCCATCGGAACCATCCTCGCCATCCTCACCACCTCTTTAGTCTGTATCCTTTCATCTGACAATTTGATTGAACTTTCATGCACTCAAATTCAAAAGCAACTCAAAGCACAATTTAAGATGCTACAACACAATTCTGAAGTTTTTAACCTAAATGCTGATCATGGAAATATTTAATGAGAATAATGTTGTTGTTAGTGGATTAAGTCTGTCCACCTGTTTTATTTTCACGCTGTCTGTCCATCCTTACATCCATCTGAGAATACCTTGAATTGTGTTTTTTTTTGTTTTTTAAAAGGTGGACTGATTGAAATTTGCTAATCCAAGGTTAAGATCAAGGTCAAAGGTCGAAAGTTCACCTTTAGTTTGCTCACCATTCTCGCTGTTACCCCACTAGAGCACTTCACCCTTAGACTGCAGCCTTACTTGTTGTTCCTAAAGTATTTAAAGGTAGAATGGGAGGCAGAGGCTTCAGTGTCAGGCCTCTCTTCTATGGAACCAGCTTCCAGTTTTGATCCAGGAGACAGACACTATCTCTGCTTTTAAAACTTAAAACCTTTCTTTTTGAAAATAAAACAATTATAATTAAAAAGAATTATAGTTGGGGTTGGATCAGGTGACTCTGAATTCTCCCTTAGTTACTCTGTAATAGTCCTAGGCTGTTGTGAGCTTCCCGTGACGCACTCAGTGTTTCTTCTTCACTCATCTTTTTCACTCTGAGTGTTGGCACATGACTCGGCATTTAATTATTAGTTACTGTTAATCTCTGGCTCTCTTCCACAGCGTGTTTTTTGTCCTGTCTTCATTTCCTCAACTGGTCGTGTCTGAGGGTGAGGTGGAGATTTCTTCCTGTTAAAAGGGAGTTTTTCCTTCCTACTGTCCTCAGGTTCTTGTTTATAGGGGGGCATCTGTGCTACTGTAGGGTCTTTATATTACAATATAAAGCACCTTGAGGCGAGTGCTGTTGTGATTTATGTGGAGAGTCCACAGAGACTGGATGGCGTATCTCGACCGGGCAGTGGAGGCGTATGACTGAGAGGCAGTTCTTCGAATTTTCTCAGCACAGTCCGATTTTCGTGGCACTGAAAGTACTTTGTATTGTTTTGTTTTGTTTTTTTCCTGACCTGCTGTTCATCCAGATCTGAGCAATGTCGTGTTGTTTGGAGCCTGCATCGAGGGGGTGGTCCTCAGAGACAAGTCAGTACACCTGCTCTTGTGTTTGTATTTGCATGTGTTGTGTTGTATGTGAGGCAGAAGGACTTTGATGCTTAAACTACTTCATGTGTTGTTACTTCTGCAGGTTTGGAGATTCAGTTAAAGGCAATCTGGTGGTGGGGACTTTGGCTTGGCCCTCGCCGTGGGTCATTGTGATCGGGTCCTTCTTCTCCACATGTGGCGCGGGCCTCCAGTCTTTGACTGGCGCTCCACGACTCCTGCAGGCCATCGCCAAAGACAACATCATCCCCTTCCTCCGGGTTAGAGCTGCTAGTTTTCAGTTTAATTACAGGGACTGTCCAAGCAGTGGCGTGTCTAGAAAATTTTTGTTGGGGGGGCCAGGTAGGGGCACAGATTTGGAGAAGGGTGGCAGATTTAATTGGCAGATAATGTTTTAAAAAAAATTCTACCAACCCTTAACCATAATTCAATAATCCTATAAACCTAATAACCAAATGCACTTTTAACTCTTATTAGAATGAGATTTTAACCACTACGGTGCAAAGTTTTTAGATACTGCGTTGATAAAGTACAAGAGATACAATCAGTGCTTTGTCAGTGTTTACTCAGCAGTCAAGGACAACAATATTTGCATAGTATTTTTACTGACATATAGTGCACATATGTTTTGGGCAAAAACATTTTTGAAAATTAAAATACGAACATTTGTAACAAACAATTGACAAATTAGCCAATGCCAATGCAAAACTTTATCTGCCTGTTAAAAAAAGAAGATAATCTTCTCACAAACTGGTGTTTGATTTTGAAACAGGAAAAAAGTGTGGAAACAACTGAAAAGACTAATATTTGAATAAAACCTGAAAGCAAGTAAATACTTTCTATGCTGCCTTATGGTAAACTTTGGTAATATTGATAAAGAACAACACTGGCTGATGATGAAATACAGTCAGCTGGCATGGTGACACTGCCAGTATAACCTGCAGGGCTGGACTGGGACAAAAAAATTGGGCATTTTTACTACAGACCGACCCACCAGGTAGTAAAGCCATAAAGACTTTGACTGAAAACAAACCCTGTTGTGACAGTGATGTACAGTCTTGTTGGTATATGTATGATTTCTATACATTTTACGTCAGATAAAAACTTTGGTTGTAAGATTTAGATAATTATTTAATAAAAACTAGGTATTTTAAATGAGAATAAGAAAGAAAAGTATTTCTTTGTGCCCACCTTTCCCTGTTAATTCCCTACCTGGCCCCCTGGCAAAACTTTGCTAGACCCGCCCCTGCACAGTTACCAGCTGTCTGCTACATAAAAAAGGATCCTGGTGTTATTTGTCTCTCAGAAACAGTTCATAACTTCCCTTCAACTCATTCATGTCACCTAAAAGGTAAACCTGTTTCTCCATCACCTGTTCAGCTCTGATGGTTCAGTAAGGACATCTCCTGGTTTCATCTTCATGTTTCCCTCTCACCACATATCTAAACAGACATCATGACCAGCAGCTTTACAGCTGTGGCTCCAGCAAACATCAGCTGATACTAGAAATTAATATTAAATACATTCTAACAACAGCTGATCAAGCTTAAACGTGCTGCTGTTGTTTAGCGCAACATCTGCTGGTTTCCTCTTTCTGGCGCAAAGTGGGCGATAAACAAGAGAGAAAAGCCGATCAGCTGATCATTGATCAGTTTCATGATTGAAGTAGCAACAGGAGAGGGAGGGGGGGAGAATGAGAGAAGAGGCAGCTGTGCAGCGTAAACACACAGAATAAATCCAGCTTTGTGTCTTTTTTCCATCCTAGCTAAAGTTCGGGACAAACTGCGTCTCTTCTCAGCTCAATACGAAACGTGTAATATTTTCTCTGAATGAGGGACCATTCCATTTTTTTAAGGAGCCGTTGGCAACTCTACTAACCTTATGAATAAAATAAAGTTCACTATCAGTAACATCATAGCACCCACCCAGCTGTATAAAAACTCCATCAAACTGGCTAGAACGCAGTATGAGTTATTGCAACTGACAGTAAAAAGTCAGCAACATGAAAATAAACTCCACCTAAACTTGGTTTATATCTGACCCAGATAGACTGCAGGTCATAACTTCTTACCTGAAGTTCAGTTCACCTGACACTCGGACTGGTGGCTGCTTCGGGGCTCTCCTCCTGCCTCCCCTTCCCTCATCCACCTGTTGCCTCTGTGGAAGCCCCGTCATAGCCACCACCAAACAACGGAGTTATTTCTACACATCGACCTGCATCTGGCCAATCCACCACCTCTCATTGTTCATGCCATTACAAAAAAAATAAAAAAATAAGTCACTGGGGATAAGCCCGATGGCCAGTCCAGCTATGTTAACCTGCAACCAAATCTGCAGCTCCATACAGCAATGTTACGACTTAGATTATATCTTATAACTCATAACTCTTATGTTAGCTGCCCTCAGTAGCATACTGTCTGAAATATTCCACAGCTGCAATAATTCTTTAAGTGTTATTTTTTCTTTGGTATTCTAATTTCACCAAAGTTTACTAAACTCAACAAACTTGATATTACTTACCGGGACATTTATTCTGTCCTCATTTTCTTTCACCGAAAAATTGTTTCCTGCAGTGCCATCTTTCGCGCTTGGCTCTCCTACCTTTGCTAACGTGATGCGCATAGCGCAGAAGCGATGCTGCATTCACTTACACTCGGATATCTGAGCGTCACCGTGAAAACATAATCGGACATTTGATATTTGATTGAATTTTATTGTTTTGCCTTTGGGGTGGCACCTGGGGTGGCCAGTCTGGTTTGGGGGGTGGCCTGTGCCCCCCCAGGCCACCCCGCTGGACACGCCATTGTGTCCAAGCACTTCTCCTTTATTCTTGTTGTGCTCAGGATTAACTTAATGATGCTGTATGAAGCAGAAATCCCTACTGATGTTGAATTACTGATGTATTTATGCTGCATACTTCAGTTCTTTCCACTTGCATACAGAAACATCTTGCAGCAGGGGAAGACAGTGTGCAAATACCTTGATGGAACTGTGGTGCTTTAAAATGCTTTAAAGTGATGGTGTTTTATGTTTTCTGTTTATTTATTTAGGTAGTTTGAGTGTAATTTGTAGTTACCTGGAGATGCTGTATTCTCTCCAATTCCTGCCTTTCACCGAAGCTTTTGATTATTTCTTTGATTCTCAGTGCTCAGGCTATTGCCTCCTTCCACTCTCTATGTAATAACAACCCTCAGATTTTATTTTTTCATTTGCAGTACTTGCCATTTCCTTAAACATAGTGTGATTTGCTGGGTCTGTGTGTGTATATTTGAACTCTGTGTGTTTCTGGCAGGTCTTTGGCCACGGGAAAGCTAACGGGGAACCTACGTGGGCTCTGCTGCTGACAGCTCTGATAGCTGAGCTGGGGGTTCTCATCGCATCTCTGGACATGGTGGCTCCTATTCTGACAATGTAAGATGCAGTTATGTTACATGTGTGTGCATGTGCACATTTAGTCTGCCTTCATCACCTCAGTTTGAATCTCCAACCCTCTTTCCAGGTTCTTCCTTATGTGTTACCTGTTTGTGAACCTGGCCTGTGCCCTTCAGACCCTCCTGAGGACACCCAACTGGAGGCCTCGCTTCTCATACTACCACTGGTACTACCAAAGACTCACTCACTCACTCACTCTCTCTCTCTCTCTCGCTCCCCCCCCCCTGACGTCTGCTCTGCTCATCTGTCCAGGAGCTTGTCCTTTCTGGGGATGACTTTCTGCCTGGCGCTCATGTTCATATCCTCTTGGTACTACGCAATCGTTGCCATGGTGATTGCCGGGATGATCTACAAGTACATTGAGTATCAAGGGTATGTTGCCATGGAGATGTACTCCCTCTACATGATTGTGCATGTACAGACTGGTGTGTAAACATGTCTGTTTCGTGTTAACATGTTTATTTTATTTTCAGGGAAACAGAAGAGTGTACAGTGTATACTGTTTGGGAATAAATAAATATACCTGTATGTTCTCTTATATTTTCTGGGTGTGGTTGTGTATCAGGGCAGAGAAGGAGTGGGGAGATGGGATCCGTGGTCTGTCACTCAGCGCTGCCCGTTATGCTCTGCTGAGGCTGGAAGAAGGACCACCGCATACTAAAAACTGGAGGTATTGAAATGTCTCACAAACACAGGATGCAAGTTGACCTGTTAGAAGTTGATGAACTGTTTGCACTTAAGTTTGCGTGCAGTGCTGGGAGTAAAGCTGCAAGACATCATCAGAATCTGCGTCACATTTAGCATTATAAACAAGAATCTGATGATTTTAATGTGCCAAGTCTCTTTTGGTGTGCAGTACTAGGTATAGCAGATCAGTAAATTAAACACTGCAGGTCACTACTGTCACTTTCAAACAGATCTGGGAGAGCTCCAGGTTGCTGGACACTGGTTTTCTTTCACAAATAAATTGAATTTCAGTTTGTTGCTATGTAATTACATTTTGACATGTTAGCCAGCCATGGGGCCTCCGTGTGACTTTGTTGGGTCTCTTTATGTGCTTCAAATGATGCTGACTGAGCTGAACTAACTGCATCAAGACAGGAGGACAGGGGGTGAGCGAACTCTGAAAATGAGTTGCCTCATAGTGGTGCTTTGGTTTCACAACTGGGGAGATGCACATCAGGCTAAATGAAAGGCCTCTTTATTACCCTTTCCAGCGCTTCCATCATGTCTCACAGTCCTCAGCTGATGTTTATCAAGTTAGCATTGAATTATAGATGACCAATTCTCCATTTACTTTTATTTTGTTTATCTGAGCACTTGGCTGTGACGTTTTCAAAACCCATTCAAAAATGTAGACAGCATAAAGACAGACAATCTGAGGCTCTGCTGTCACTAATATTTAGGAATAATCCACTAACGCACACATGCTCTTGTTCATCGCCTTGTCTGTCCGTGTCCAGGCCTCAGCTTTTGGTGTTACTAAAACTGGACGAAGACGCCCACGTCAAGTCTCCTCGGCTCCTGACGTTTGCCAGCCAGCTAAAGGCGGGAAAAGGCCTGACCATTGTTGGCACTGTTGTCCCCGGGAACTACCTGCAGAGCTATGGAGAGGCGCTCGCTGCTGAGCAGGTAGGGCCGTTTGTTATTGATGGGTGGAAATGTATTTGCTTTCAGATAATGTGGAGTTGGACCTTTTATCCTTCTTTCCTCAGACTCTGAAGCACCTGATGGATAAGGAGCGCGTGAAGGGCTTCTGCCAGTGCATCGTGGCTCAAAAGCCACGTGATGGGATCAGCCACATGATCCAGTCAAGTGGCCTGGGAGGAATGAAACCCAACACTGTGGTGATGGGCTGGCCTCACGCCTGGAGGCAAAGCGAGGACCCACAGTCCTGGAAGACCTTCATCAGTGAGTCAAGAGAGGACAGCAAAGCGGTTAATGGGGTTGTTTCAGAGTTAACAAGCTAACGACGCCCTCTTTCCTCCTTTCAGACACAGTGCGGGTGACCACAGCGGCCCACCTTGCGCTTCTGGTGCCCAAAAACATCTCCCTGTTCCCTAGCAACTCCGAGCCCTGCACAGAGGGCTACATCGATGTGTGGTGGATCGTCCATGACGGCGGGATGCTGATGCTTCTGCCTTTCCTCCTGCGACAACACAAGGCAAGAAAACAAAGTGTTGATCTTAAACTCTAACAAAGCCTTTAAAGTTTCCGCTGAACCCTCTGCTCTGTCTCTGCCCAGGTGTGGCGCAAGTGTTCAATGCGAATCTTCACAGTGGCCCAGATGGAGGATAATTCCATCCAGATGAAGAAGGATTTGTTAACCTTCACCTATCAGCTACGCATCGATGCTGAGGTGGAAGTAGTGGAGATGGTACGCATCGTTGCACCCCTAATAAAAATAATATATATATATACATATTACCGGGTCTGACCACTTGCACTTTGACTGAAATATTCACCTTTAATGGCTGCACTGGTTCGCCAGCTGAAACATGTAGATGCATAATTTTTTTACAGCCTTTAAGATCGTATTTATGTTGTTGTTGAATCACAGATTTTTACATAAAAAATAAACAGGTAATACTTTCATTTTCTTGACTAAAGAGATTCTACTGTGATGATTAAGCCTATGAGCAGGAGGTGTCTCTCTCTGCACTTCAGAGTACACCAGAGTTTTGTGTTGAGGCCTCTGGTGGATTGAATTCTTTAAACATGAAAACAGACAGAAGGAACCTGCTTTAAATCCCTTCGGGCACTCCCCCTTTCTTCTGCAGTGCAAAGACATGCGTGTAATGTTAATTCTGAACTGGATGAAGTTCTTAAAGTGCATAAACTGAACCACTGTGTGAATATAAGGTTAAATGTGGACCTAAGATCTCAGTAAAATATAAATTCCAGTCTGATTTCCACTAATCTCTACAACAGCTGTTTTCTCACCTCTTCTGAGCATGTCCATGTACCTCTTCTCAGCACGACAGTGACATCAGTGCATATACCTATGAGAGGACGCTGATGATGGAGCAGAGGTGTCAGATGCTCAGACAGATGCGACTGTCTAAATCTGATCGGGACAGAGAGGTAGGTGTGGAAAGCTTACAGCGGGGTTTTGTGTGGTGTGAAAAATGCCCGCAGGTTTGTGTAGGGTTGATTAGGAGTTTGAAACTTTATGGAAGCTGGGTCTTAACAAGCATTTGTCCACCACTTTCACCAGGAGAGCCCTAGCAGTAGCAGCAACAATGGTAGGCCAGAGGCAGGTGGAGCTACAAGGTCTCAGGTGAGGTTAGAGGTCAAGGTCAGCTGTGAGTTCAGGAGTTTAAGGAAATATAAAAAATAATATTTTTTGTTCTGCAAAAATAAGCTGGAACAAAGTGGAGATCAGGTTCCCAGTACAGACGCCATGTTTTGTCTTTGAGGTCACCGTTTTCTTCCAGATTAAATTAGATTTAAGGAGAAAGAGCTCAGTGTTAAGGTCCAAAGGTTGCTAAAGAAACTAAAGTGCAGTGTACTGAGGTGATAGCAAAGAAATCCTGGTGGGTAACACTCATGGTAAGGGACACGGGCTACTGACAAAAAAAAGCACTGCAGACGGTAACTTGCATTGAGATGTTTGTTAAACGTTCATGTCGCCTCCTTTTGCCTCTCATCTCCTCAGAGGGTACGCTGGAGTTTTGATGATGTAAGTTTGCGCAGTAGAGAAGCAACACCTGTCTGAAGTAGAGCAGATTAGACTCTGTAGAGTAGCCTGCAGTCAGGACACACTGTCAAAGTAAAGAGTGAAACCCTCTGAACAGCTGTGAGTGCAGCTGAGCCCTTCAGATGAAGAGTTGAGAGGGAAAAAAGCGATGTGGTCACTGTGACGTCAGCCGTCGGTTTGTGAAGTGTCTTCACGAAGCTGGGACTGAAACTGCAAGCATACGCTCCTCTCACGCTCTTAGAAACAAAATTTACACAGTGAGCTGAACTCAGGGTCAGGAGGTGTCGCCCCCTGCTGGCATTTAAGGAAAACAAATCATATATTAGAAATGTGAGCTGTGACTTCTCTTTTCAGACCAGAGGAGTAACTTACAGTAAATGTACACCAGCACTGTCACATTCACATGGATCAGCTTTAATGTAACTGCAGCTTTAATTTTTGAAGCCTGTGCCTCCTAAAAACACTTCCATTACATGTGATGTTATCGTAATGTTTGGTGTTGTCTAGCGTTGATGCAGCAGTCCAGCATGATTTTCCTCTATGGGGAGACACAATAAAATAATATGATCTTAATAATTACAGGATGGTGGGGTGAACTTTTTCCAGGGTTCTTCATTGGGGTGTGTCAGGGAAAAGTTTGAAAACCCCTGCTTTAAATAAAACACTGAATTGTTACAGAGTGAATCCTTTGACCTCCCTAATGTAGATCAAATCCACATTTATTTCACTGTCAGTCCAGTTCTTTATCTGAAGGGTTCAGTTAATGCTAACATGTGTCAGATGCTTCTTCCTTTAACTGTTCTGTCATCTTTGTTTCCCTCTACCCTTCACACTCATTCTCATTTCAGATTTTCAGAAGCTTTTTGTCTCGGGCCTTTTTTATTTACTGCCGTGTCCCTGTAGTTGTGCTTCAGTGCCCACCAGAGTAGATGCAGGCTGTGTTTGATTTTGGGGAGTTAGGTGACCTTGTGTTTTCTGTAGGCGTATCTTTCCCCCAGGTACAAAAGTCCTGGACCCTTCACGCCAAACACCTCCAGAGGAGACAGAGACAGACAGGTACAGAGAGACGGAGAGAGGCAGGAGTCAGGAATGACTGTAGAAAAGAGAGGTTTGCCAATGAGGTGGAAGAAAAGGCTGGAAAAAGAGATGAGAGAGAGCGTGTTTGTGTGTTTTCACACGCCAGGCCCAGCTGGTGAAGGATCGTAACTCCATGCTGCGTCTGACGAGCATCGGCTCAGACGACGAAGATGACACAGACGGCGGCGAGCGAGACCGGGCGGCGAGCGGCAGCGGCGGCAGTACTGAGCACCACCGCCGCATTCAGATGACCTGGACCAAAGAGAAGACCACACAATACAGAGCGACGCACTCGGGCTGCTCCACCCCCGAGGGCTTCAGGGACATGCTGAGCATCAGGCCGTGAGCAGACACAGCAGGTTTCTCTGTGACACTGAGATCCGCGCTAACCAGGTCCTTTAACGCATCTCATTTTTCCTCCAGGGACCACTCCAACGTCAGGCGAATGCACACTGCCGTCAAACTCAACGAGGTCATCGTCAACAGATCCCACGACGCCCGGATCGTCCTGCTCAACATGCCTGGACCTCCCAGGAACACCGAAGGAGATGAGAACTGTATCCTTAACCCCGAGTCTGCACCAAATTAAATGTTAGGCGCTTGTTTTTGCAGTCACTGAGTGTACTTTTGTTACAGCAGACACCTTTATGATGGCTTAAACAGGGTTTAAAAAATTAATTACAAAATCACTAAAGCCTTAAAGACGAAAGGAAATTTAGTTAAATTTTGCTTACTAACATGATTATTAAAACGTATAAGCTTTTCATTTATTTAAAAGAATTCATTTATATTATCAAAGTAACATAGTATGAGAAGTTCGTTAATTCAGTGAGCAGACATGGAGTTCCTGGAGGTCCTGACAGAAGGATTGGAGCGTGTGCTGTTGGTGAGAGGCGGAGGAAGTGAAGTCATCACCATCTACTCCTGATTAGACAAACACAGGAAGCCAGCATCAAGCAAGCAGCCAGTCGTGCAGGAGAGAGCAGAGTGAAGACGATGGGATCTGGGAACCTGAAAAAGAGCGATTGTCGATTGTCACACTTCCCTGTCGTGGCGCTGGTTTCCATCCCACATGCTGTCCAAGCTACAAAAATGCCAACACAATTCCAACAAGGAGCAGTGTGTGTGTGTGTGTGTGTGTGTGTGTGTGTGTGTGTGTGTGTGTGTGTTTATGTTTGACTCACCCACCCGAGGGTCCTCTGACTCGATGAGGAAGGGAGCACTGTGGTGTTAGGAGCGATTGCGTTTGGAGGGGCGGACCACAGAGGCTAACGGTGAGAGGCTGCGGAGCGGCTGACCCGCTGATGAGACTCAGGGTTGCTTTTTGTACAGAATGTAATTTGGAAGCAGACAGCAGTTTTCTGTCAGAATCAAGTATGGTTTTCTTTTTGTTGCTTCTCACAAACACATCTGTTTACTCTTACCAGCGTATCGGTACTCTTTATTTTCATATCCAGGAGTATTTGCACACAACTGACGAGAATCTGCTTTATTAAGACGCACTGACAAGGATTTATTTTTTGATTTTCGCTGCTACTACTTAGAATTTAGTCACAACAGCCTTTAACATAAAAATGTTGGGTGTTTAAAATTCAGACATCTTACCTCAAAAATGAATTTATTCATATCAGATGAATATTTTAATAAATACAGCATATTAAGACAGAATTTCAGGCTATATATATAAAATTTAAATGGATAAGTAGAAATTCTGATAAGGTCTATTTTATTGGCATTCAGCAGGACTATGTTGTGTAAAAAATTGATAACACCTGAGTTTTATTTACATTTTTAAAAATCAAATAAAAATTCAAAGGTACTTTTTGTAAATTCCTGTATTTTAAAAAATAGTTTGAAACATCAAAAATTAACTAAAGTGACAGCCACGCAGGCCTTGTGTTGCAGGGTCAGTGTAACCTTTATTAATTATTACTATTATTATTATTATTTCTTTTTACTGTGGCGCCAGGCCAAAGGCAATGCACGTTGAGGAAGAGGGGGTGGGACTAAAAATCAAAGCGGCACCTACCTGCAAACATCCCACTGGTGAAGTGCTGCCCCCTGGTGGTAAGTTTTAGCTCATTTTTGCAGAGGGTAATTACAAGAATTCCCCCTTCAGAACTTCCATAATTAGAAGAAAACCTGTCAGAGCTCAGTTTAAAATCACAAGGTTTATTCCGGAAACCCATCAAACCTTGCTGATACAGCAGTGTCCACTTCTTCTTTTTTTTTCTTTTTTTTTTTTTAATTGCTTAAAGAGGATTTCGGTCTTTTGCACCACATTCAAGGTTCAAGGGTTCAACACATTCACAGCTGTGGATGTGACACCAAAATGAAACCAGTGCAAAGGAAATGGTCAGAGGTTTTCTCTCTGCTCTCTCGTTTTCTCTCAGGCCCACGCTGGACTGCACCTGAATAGTTAGTAAGTTATTCGACGTTAGCGTAGAGTTCAGTTTAGAGATGGGGGGGGCTGGGGACAGTTTTTGGTTGTTGCCATAACGACCTTGTAAAGGGAAACAGTATTGTGGAGACACTGGACCATCGTGGAGAGGACCACCACACTTCATGTGTATACATTTTTGTGTGTGTGTGTGTGTGTGTGTGTGTGTGTGTGTGTGTGTGTGTGTGTGTGTGTGTGTGTGTGTGTGTGTGTGTGTGTGAGAGAGAGAGAGAGAGAATGTGGGCTCACAAGCTACAATGAGGAGCTCTGAACTGCAGGTGTTTGATTCCACTCTAACGCTTTCTTTTTTCTTTTTTACAGTGTTACCGTGCAGGGTTGTTCTCTGTTCATTGTTATTTCCTAAACATTGTTTTGTTTTGTTTTTTTCTTGCTTGTACATAAAAATGAAAAATCCCAAGTTTTATCTTTTTTTAATTACATTAATATAAAAAGGAATAAAAAAAACTTTGCTTGGAAAAAAATGGGAATAAATAAAACAGTTTTGAAAAAAAAATGCACAAACTGTGATCTGTGTTTTATTGTATATATTTGATGATTGATAGTGTAGGTGGTTGGATTATTTTGCCTGTTTATAGACAGACACATTTATCAAATCTTTTTTATGTTTTGACTTTTTAACCGTAGACATTTCAGTGGACTTTAACAAGAACAGCTGAGCAGATGATTTTAAATTGATTAAACTGAAATGAAGATCTGTTTGTCCAAAGAAAAAATTATTTGGACATAAGCTGCTTTCTTTTTGCTCATTTTCAGTCACATCCTTGTACTGGACCATTTTCAGTGGAATGTTTATCACTCCACAAAACACTCACCTATGAATGATTCAAGCCAAAAAAGGCACCTAACTAAAGGGATGAACTAGTGTATCTACTGACTACCTGTCAAAAAACGCATCACTGGTTTTCATTTTTTCAGCCAAATCAGTTTAATAATACCAAATTTAACAGTTTGACATGTTTTTTTTTTAAACTATACAACTTGTACAAAACTACAACTGGGCGTGAATGATATATTTAAATAGGCTGAGTGTAGTGCAACCAGCATGAACCAGTGCAAACTGGATAGTGCAATGTGCATATGACCTGAATGACATAACAGTGGGTTAGTGTTCAACAGAGTGACAGCCCGGGGCAAGAAAGTCTGTGGCGGCTGGTTTTAGTAAAGAGCTCTGTAGCACCTGGCTAAGGGCAGCAGCTTGAACAGTTTGTGTCCGGGATGTGAGTGGTCTGCAGAGATCTGGACATACCCTGCAGTGTACCCCAAAAAGAATCTGAGGAAACTGGACAAGTGAATAAAAATGCCCTAAAACACTCCAACAAAGACCTGACAGATGCATCTGAACCTTCAGCTGATGCATGTACTGTTAACTGAAGATTCATTAAGTTGTCAAGAGGCCATTATTAGGAAAGGAAATGGGGAAAAGGCTGAGCTATTCCAAATTACACCAGAACTAACTTAAATTCAGTGACAACAGGATTTATGGAGTGATGAATCCAAATGTAAAATTTGTGGTTCAAATTGTCAAAATGTACAGAAGAACTCAGGAGAGAGGCCCATTGGTCTACAGCACAGGTGTTGAACTCCAGGCCTCAAGGGCCGGTCTCCTGCAGGTTTTAAATGTGTCTTTGATCCAATCCAAGAAACCTTGTCTAGGAGTTCAGGCTGTACTGAAGAATAAAGACAAATATTGACTTTCAAGCTCATTAAAATGATACAAACACTGTTTTTGCCTTATAAACTACTTTTCCGTGACCCAATTTCGTTTTTTAAACGAATAAAAAAAACATAGCTCCTTTTTAGAACTTCCTTTTAATTGCTTTTCTGTTATCAATGCTATAAATTTCTACGTCTTATTTTGAAAGCCAAGCTTCCAACTTGTGCTTGCTGAGGTCACGTGATTCTGCACGTACAATCCGGAAGCCGGTGCCATGTTGTGATATTTGAGGAAATCCCTTCTGGGTGAAGTTCCCTGGCAAAAGTGGGATTAAAAACAAACAAACAAACACAGTTAAACAGGTTTCGGGGTGAGCATGGAGGTAAGAGTGGCTGGTGTTAACAAAATAAACTGCTGCGCACGCACACAAGATGACAAAATATAGCACGCGCAGTCTGGCTGTCAGACATCATTGGCGGCCTGCTGTACGCGCTGACCTCACTGATCATTGTTCCTCTGTTCACGGACTTCACGTTAACTTCTGCTAACATGTTCAGCCTCGTTTTAACCCAGCTGTCTGTCCGAGCAGGCGGACCTGAGGCAGTCTCAGTGTTAGTGAACTTTAATCGGTTTAAACAACAAAAAATATGCCGCTCGTTTATCCAGGAAGGAGCCACAGGATAGAGCAGTTAAATCAGCTGAAGGAGACTGTTAAACGCCAACAAACAGTCTAACATCCCCATCCAGTAAGAACCAGCCTAATGTGGGGTGTTAGTCCATGTCAGACAGGAAACTTTATGTTAAAGGACTTAATCTAGATAACATACGAGTGCTAACCGGGTTAATTGATGCCGAACAGCAGTAGCAGCCAGCTTCCCTTTAAACCTTTCAAAATAAAGGAGACATTACTGCAGCATAATATTAATTCTCTACAATCTAGACATGTTATATCAGGTGTATTAAACATAAGGGCCGGGAACCATAATCAGCCCGACAAAGACTCCAGTCCAGGCCACTGGAATGCTGTGGAGAATTTGAAGGAGAGAATAGATTTGAAACTTTCAGTGATATTCTCACAAGTTTTCTAGCTTTTCCTATTGATATTCATGCTACACCAAATAATTACCCAAGAGATAAACAATTAAATGACATAAAAGGTTTTTTTTTCAATATCTACTGTAGAAATATTCTGTTTTAGGAAAAAAGAAGTCATTAAAAATACTATACTGTTTGGGCAATTAGCTACCAGAAGTTGTTCTGTTATTGTGCACATTTATCACATAGAAAAACTATAACATATTCTTGCACTTGCACTTGTTTTTCTTATATTTAGATATGCCAGGGATTAAATGTGAAGTTAAACATCTTGCTGTTCTGGCCCACTTAAGATCAGAATTGGCTTTATGTGGCCCATGATGTCAAATTAGTTTGACATCCTTGTCTTAGATACCATAAGCAAAAAAAGCATACTTTAAAATGAAGGTAAACGTGATGCACGGAGCACTGTATGGTTAGTAGTACTGTAGTACTGTGTAAACGTTTTCAGCCATGCTTCATTTTTTTATAGTTGACCTTTCAAAATAAGATGTAGTTACTGTTTGCCATAGAAATGTTTTTATGTATAGGGTTTTCGATTTGTAAGGGGAGGTAAATCAAAAACCTGGAACAAGCCAGTCGAATTCCAGTGCCTGTACTGTATTAGGAAGTCAGGAGTGGTAGAGAAGTATGTGAGGGCGGTGCAGAATGTGTTTGAGGACAGTGAGACATTATTAAGGTGCAAGTCTCTTGATACTCGCAAGGGTGATGGACAGGCTGACAGATGAGGTCAGGCAGGAGGTGGTAGTCTGTCCCAGACAACGTGATCTATGGTGAGAGTAGGGAGCAGGTGGAGGAGCAGGCGGCTGTATGATCTGTTGAGAAGGTGAACGCAAATCCGTAGGTGCGAGGCAGAATACATGTGTGGGAAAAGTCATTTGCAAAGACTAGAGGTAGTGAAGGGGTGAAGTGCAGGCGTTTTTGTTACCTGGGGGCAAACTTACAAAGCAACAAAGAGAGGTAAAGAAGAGTGCAAGCAGGGTGGAGACAAGTGTGACAGGTGATTTGTAACAGAAGAGGTTGAGCAGTTTGGAAATGTTGAGGGTGATTGATATATTGGATAAAAGATGTTGCCAGGGAGGAGGAAAAAGAGGAAGACCACAGAGACGATCCATGGATGTTGTAAAAGAGGACATGAAGCTCCAGTAATGATTTTATTCGTCCACGATTATTTTGAAATCCGCTTCGCCCTACATCCGGCTTTGCACCAGTGTAGCTTGACCGCTGCCTGTTTATCCAACCCACGATCTGTTTCTCGGGATCCATTGAGGATCCTGGCCCGAGCCAAAGCGAAGCTTAAAAATCGGGGACTCTGTGTGTTTCCCTTGGCTGTCAGACACCTTGACACGACCGCGGTCGGTTTGCCGTTTAAACGGTCACTGAGACGTCGGAGGAGTAACAGGCAGGTAGACAGACAAACGAGCACCGGGCTGTCTGGCGGAGGGGGGCTGAAATGTGAGCGCCACTGCAGGCTTGCGTCAAAGCCAGCTAACGCTAAACCGTGATAGGACAAAGTCAGCGAGAAAGACGGTTAAACGGCCACGTTACCTCGTCAGAGAGCCGGCCAGCTCACGGGCCGGGCTATTTTTGGCACGCGCACACACACACATGCTCAGTTTAGCTGGCTGCCAGCCACGGCTGTCACTGTCGGCGGGTTTTTAAAGGAGAACCCGGGCTAACGGCGGAGCTGGTCGGTAACCAGCCTATCCGTCAATCGCACGCTGACAAGGGGCGGAAAAATCAGGGGAAAGGAGATCCGGTTAATAGCCTGACGTCGTATCGCAGCGAAGAAGGGGGGCCTCACAGCTCACACATGAGGCCCAGCTGAAAGGATGGATCTGAATTTTTACTCGGATTTAACGGACGGTACCGGGCAGCACGACGGGGATCCGGAGTTCCTGGATCCGCAGTCTTTCAATGGGTTCGACTCCGACAACAAGGTGACTGAACAGCCGCTCCGTGCATGCTTATTCGAGTACTGGACCCTTGAGTAATGGAGTATTTCCGTTTTAGAGAGAGTTATAGTTTCAGCTTAGGTTAGAAACCTTTAACCTATCTGTGCGACTAAAAATCATCCTTAAAACAAATCGATAAAGACTCATGTTGGACTTAAGGAGCCAACATGTGAGTGTATGCTCCTCTCCTGTGTTGAAATAAGGCTGTTTGAAACCATATCTTCTGTTTAACCCTCTGATCTCCAGTGATGGTTTATTTGTTTTTTGTGCCTACCTGTTTCAGCTTCAGTCAATTACTTTTGACCTTGTGTACAAAGGTAATTGCCCTCTTTGTCAAATCATGAATTAACAGTGATTAATCACATTTTTTTTAGAAGGCAGAGTTCAGTTTCAGTAACCACACCCAGCCCTGATTACTGCAGGGCTGATGAATGAAGACACCACTTCAGTAGAAGCTGTCTGACATAGTAAAGGAGGCTAAAAGATCCCAGAAAGCAACACATGCCACGATCTAAAGAAGCAAATGAGAAACAAAGTCATTGACATCTATCAATCTGGAAAACTGTTACCCTGCCATTTCTAAAGCTTTGGGACTGTCTGAACCACGGTGAGAGCCATTATCCACAAACGAAGAAACCTTGGATCAGTGGTGAACCTGTCCAGGAGTGTCCGACCTACCAAAACTACTCGAAGAGCACGTAAGCAACTCACT